GTGCCAGGCCTGCCCACCCTCACAAGGAACAATTTCTTCCTGATATCTAATCCAAGCCTAGATTAGACTAAATATTCCTAATATGGAGTCTAAATGGAATGTTCTCTATCCAATCTCATTAACCATAGAAAGTGCCCCAGCTAGGTGCAGCCAATATCTCCTTCTGTCATTCATTGTGGGCACAGGCCAACATTATCATTTCTATTGTAAAACCTCACAAAAGATGATGAAAAAAGCACCATGTTAAAAAGGATGCAATGACTTTTTTGTTGGTCCTTGTGATTAATATGAGACATGGCAAGTAGTTAATTTTATTTCTTGAAAGGGCTTTGAGATTGCAATCAATGGAATTGATTATAAAAGACAAATTATGAAGGAGTAAAACATCACAGCCTATTTAATATGATGCTAAGAAGGCCCATCCAGCATCATACATGAATTTCAGCTTAAAGTGACAACAGTGCCAGCTTTCATGTGATAGGGGTTTAGAGAGCAAGTTAAAAACATGTATATCTGCTATTTAAAGGAAAAAGATTCCATCTCTTCACTCAACAAAGATGGAGATAGGAGAAAGAACAATTTTCAAGAGTTTACTTTATTAAAAAAATGATTTCTATTCATGGAAAATTACCATGAGAACATCTTCTTTAGCTTACCATTGCGAGTTGAGGGGCAAAGCCTCCATTGTCATTTACTATCCACATTTTACATAACTCCAGGGTTAAAAGGGTGAGCCTACATTTCCTTTCTTGATTTTTTAATAGTAAGATTGTGGGAAATCCATAAGCAAAAATATTTTCTCTCTTTAAGAGAAAGAAAGGATCAATTAAAAGAACTCACTTCAAATACTTTATTTGATTGGAATCTAAGTATTCTGTGAAGAAAAAGACAGTGCTTAGAAGTTTTTCTTTTCATGTTCCAAGTCAAAGCAAGGCTTTTGAAATCCTTAAAATAATCATGTTGTCATCAGGGATTTAGTTAAGCACTTAAGATGACATAATAAATTTTAGTTTTATTTTACTTACCATCTTCTGCAAGCTCAGCACTGGAGAAGCAGGGCTACTTTCTAAGCTTGTTCAAATGAAATTTGAGTTCCTAAATGAACATTTGAAATCAAAAGTATTGTACCTCCAAAATCACTGAAAATAAACTTAAACCTAGAAATTATACCAACTATATCTATTCCCATCAAAGCATGGGGCAAAAAAAGAGAAAAAGGAAAGACAGAAGAATAAACAGTTGAATTTTTCGAAGTATTTCATTTGCACTGGAAGAAAAGAGTGTATCAGCAGGACAAATTTGTTCTTCCTGGTGACACAACTTGTAAGAGTCTGGCTATGTCCTCTCTTGGCAAGCACAACTTTCCTGTTTTGTTTTTCAGAGGTCTTGTCAAGAACCAGCTCTTTAAATGCGTCAGGTTTAATAAAAGTATCAGTAGGAAGAGGAAGAGACCAGAGCATGATATGTAACTTTGTTACATCAAGTTAGTAACTTCTTCCTTTAAGATGAGTCAGAAATCAGGTCTGATTCAGCAGGAGCAAGGGATGAAGTCTTATATTTAATGTTTTAAGGCCTTAGTATGTTTCTACATAGAAGCTCTGTAAATTATATTTTTCTCTTGAATAATATGGTCTAGCTATAGTCTGAACGTTCATTTTATGGTTATCAGCCAATGTTTCAAGGCAATCCCTTTTTGACTGTTTTCTCCATCTAATGCACCTCCTATTGATGGGTTTCATACTGTGGAGGGTCACTAAGAAGACACACAGTGCCCATTTTGTGGCATTTAGACAGATATAAAGATTACATTAATCTAATTTTCCAAGCATATGTTGCTTCCAGAAAAAAAAAAAAATTTAAAAAGTCAAACAGGAACAGGAAACCTCAAAGGGGAATATGAGTCTTTTGGAAAATAGCAGGAAAATCTCATAAATAAGAACTGTTTGATACTGACCTACACAGTGGCAGAAAAACATTATATTTTGTCATGATTAGCAATATGTTCTCATTTCTGAAATGATCTTACTTTCCTCAAAAAGATCTAAAGCTCTGTGCTTAAAATAGCTGAAAAACAGCTGTTGGATTTTTCACAGCAATGGGTTTTATCTTCATGCTACATAGAATGCAAACCGGTCATTTGACTAATATATAGTTGCAGAAATCATGCCTTCAGAATATAGTCTCTCCTGCTAATGACAAACCAAGGAAATATTCCCTTTTACATGAGTTTTCATGTGCTTTTTTATTTAGTGGTTTTTTTTTAAATTTTTTTATTTGAATACTTTCATAACTGTTGGTACAAGAGCAGCTTTACTGAAATACATAAAGTTTCCCACCTCTGGAACCATCTGACTAGTTGAGCCCTTGGCTGTAAAGGGTGAAAACATTCTGCTTTTGCCTGCTTTATAGTCTTGTCACATTTTAAGTTTCTCTAGTGACTAGAGAGTGAACTAAAAATACAGTACATTACCTGAAGAATACTTTGGCATATTTGTACTTACCTCAGATTCCACCATCATTCAAGAAAAAACTATTTCAGTTTAGCTTATAATATTTTAAAATGTTTTATTTAAGCCTTTAGGAAATTCTTATCTTGCAACATAATCCCCTGCTCCCTAGATTTTGAGGTGGACCTTGGTTTTTGCCTAGAGGAGGAATCCTGCATTGATTTCACCACAAAGAAAGCCAGGGGATGCTTCATTCAGTGGCCATCCAAAGATCTATACCGAAGGCTGAAAAAAACCCTAAGAGCCACAACCTGGCAAGAGCTGCCTCTATAAAAAGATTCCTCTCAAAATGTTTTTTTGTTTTGTTTTGGGGTTTTTTTGTTTTGTTTTTTGTTTGCTTATTAATTTCAGCCACGAACATGAGCTTCAGAAACTGGGGAATCTGGGGTATAGGGACAAGCAGAGAGAGAAGGGGTTGGGGAGGAATTCCACTTCAACATCATTTCATACCGATACTTCAAATAATGCTTTCAAATAATCTGCTTCACGTCTAAAACTTTATTCCCACTATCATGACTTCGGATTTCACAAGCCTGTTTAAAAATAACCCAACAAAACACGTCCTAAATAGGTAGAAGGGACTTGCCTCTCTGCTCTCTACCACATCCTATGAATGTGCTGCTGTATTCCAGAGACTTTCCAAAGGTGGCAGGGCGAGCATGTGTGAATAGGAGAGCTTTGTCCTCTGCAGCTATCATTGTGTTGTCCCTATCGTCCACAAACGCAGAGGGCAGATGAGAACTGGATAGAAACAGACCATGCAGTTGTAAAACCCGGTTCTTTTCTATCTTTATTTATTTATTTCTGCGACTGAGTAACACCTCTCATTACAATTACCGGCTCAATGGCAGAAAATCTCCCCGGTGTGCTGTGCAGATTTTCACAGCTTCATTTGTCTCCTCCTGTGGCATCAGTTTAAAAAGGTTCCTAAAGAATTGCCACTAACAACCGTTTCTATTTCGAGCCTTCAAAGCCGGAGCTGAGCACAATACAAGGCACTGGTAACTGATCTTTAGGTTTCAGTCCACAGACTTTCCACACTGGGAATAGATCCCATCTGTTTCCTCTTTATGCACCAGCCTTTGGAAAGCACAGATCTGGAAACTGCCTCCGTACAGAACGGAGTATAGCCGGCTTTCCCCAGCTGACGGCAGAAAAATCCCCATGATTATGGATAGCTTTCTCCCAAGGTTTTCTACTCCTCTTTTCTCCCCGGTCTGAGGATACATGGTGCGGTTTTCTCCATGTGCGGTGTTTTTTTGGAAGGGTGAAGGGGGTGGACCACCTCTCTTTCCTTGTCCCTTCTTGGCAGAGGTTTCCCCATTTACCAACCCTCACGGGGGAGCATTTCAATTTCAAGCCCCAGCACAATCAACCACAGGCAAACCCCCCTCCTTGCTTTGGCACCAGAGCGTGAGACATTTCCCCCACCGCTCTCCCTCCACAGCAAGCTGCTCTCCAGATGGATGCTCGTGTCTCTTGTCTCTTCCCTTCTCCTGTCCCGGCCAGAGGCAGAGGGCACAGAGCCGGGGATTCCTTGGGGCAGGGGCAGCTGCTGTGACCCCGGGATGTTCAGCACCACCGAAGTCCTGAACTCTTTTGCCTCGGGGATCCCCCTGTCCTGGCTTCCCTCCCTCAGACCCACACTGGGGGTCCCCTCAACGCCACACTGGGGAGTCCCTCAGCCCCACATTGTGGAGTCCCTCAGCCCCAAACTGGGGAGTCCCTCAGCCCCACACTGGGAAATCCCTCAGCCCCACACTGAGGAGTCCCTCAGCCCCTCACAGGAGGGTTCCCTCAGCCCCACACTGGAGGGTCCTTCAGGCCCGCGCCCTGCCCCGTTCCCCTCAGCCCGGCACTCACTACTTGTAGAGCTGTTGTAGGCAGAGGTCCAGGCACTCGCCCTCCACCTCCTCCTCCGTGATGTACTCCGAGAGCGGCCGGGGCAGCGAGGGCAGCGGCGGGGGCGGCGGCGGCGGGGCGGGCGGCTGAGGGTCGCCGGCATCGCCCTCGCCGCCTTCTCCCTCCTCCGTCTCGGCGGCCGCTCCTGCTTCTCCCTCAGCCCCGGGCTCCTCGTCAGTGTCTCCCGCAGCTTCGGCAGCAGGAGCGGGGGCCGCCGGCTCCGGCTCCGGCTCGGGCTCCGGTTCGGGCTCCGGCTCGGGCTCCGGCTCTGCCCCGAAGGGCCCGCGGAACTCGCCCAGGAACAGCTCGAGGAAGCGGCGGTAGGTCTTCTCCTCCGCGCTGCCGCCGCCACCGCTGCCCGAGCCGCCCGCGGCCATCGCTTCGCATTCCCGGCCGCCCGCCGGCGGATCAGCACTGCGCCCGCAGAGAGCTCCCTGCCCGCCGCCGCCTCCTCCTCCTCCTCCTCCTCCTCCTCCTCCTCCTCCTCCTCCTCCCTCCCGCCCGCCGCCTGCGCGCGCGCTCCCGAGCCGGGCCCGCGGGGCCGCGCACGCCGCGGGGGGTGAGGGGGGGCGCGGCTGGGCGCCGGGAGCGCGCGCGGCGCTGAGGGGGCCCGGCGGGGTCCGGCGGCCGCCCGAGGGGGCGGCTCGGGCCGCGGCGCTGGAAGGGGGAGCGGGAGCGGCGGCAGCCGCGCCGCTGTGATGAGTCATGCGAAGGCAGCCAGACGCGTAGGTTCCTCACAGGAACCCGGAGGAAACCTGAGCGCACATCGCTCGTTACCTAATCCCTGCCTCCTTCGGGGCTTCCCTGGAGCTTCCGCCGCCGGCGGCGCCTCCGCGGCTGCCGGAGGGTGCGCGGGGCCGGGGTGAGCCCCGCCGTGAGGGGACGCCGCTGTCCCGCCCGAGCCGCGGCCAGGAGCAGCCTCGGAGACAGAGTTTGACATCGGAGAGTGTTTGCGTGAGGGGAACTAGCCATGAAAAAGGAAGAGGGTAGGTTTAGTTCAGGTGTTCGGGAGGAACTCTTCGCTGTGAGGGTGGTGAGGTCCCGGCAGAGGTTGCCCAGAGAAGCTGTGGGTGTCCCATCATCCCTGGAAGTGTCCAAGGCCAGGTTGGATGGAGCTCTGCACATTCCGGTTCAGTGGAAAGTTTCCCTGCCCATGGCAAGGGTTGGAATAGATGATCTTTAAGTTCCTTTCCAACCCAAACCATTCCATGATCCTGTGATAAATTACTTATTACACAATATCTACTCATTCCATGTTCTGGCAAAGGAGAATTTGTGAAAAGCTGAAGATGCTTCACCAACTAAAACGACAACTTGTCAGTGGGAGACAAACTGTAGTGAATATTCTCTTGCTGTCTAATAAATGTCTTTCATTTGTGAAAGGCATTTTGGCTTGTTTTATTCATTGCTGCTGGAAAGCTATTTTCAGAGCTATCAGGTCCATAAATACAATTAATGAACAGGTATAATTGCCACACATTTAAAATAGCTTGTACACATGGGAGGGAACGATTTCCTTAATGTGAGATATACCTTGACAAATGGCCGAATCACGAGCCTCATATGCAAAAAGACCCTCAAATTTTTATCTATTGTAGCAAGTATCTTGCTGAAACCTGTTGTTCTCTGCATTGTAGCAGTTAGCTCTGCATGTCAGGGTGCTCCTGTAAATTTGTCTTCTGTTTGGTGAAATATTTCAGAGCCAAACTAATTTTAGAATATTTTCGGCAACTGCATTGACTGATCATATTGCAATCTTGTGAATATGGAAAAGCCCTGAAAGTTAAAAATGTGATTGTCACAGTTAGTCTTATTCTTTCACAGCTGACAGTGACAAAAAATCACACTGCTTGTCCTGGAAGGTTATGTCTAGGCAATATTTTTCTTTATGCCATTTCTTTATTTTCAATATAACACTCATTTATTTAGCGAATGCCAGGTGGGTTTGCAGGGTAAGAAACAATGAAGGGTAAGAAACACTGCAGTTCTTTTTGAGCAGAGAGCTCCCAGTTGCAGCTGATGATGTCATTGCTGGATTTTGTTTTTTATTTATTTTATGTTTGTGTGTTCTGCATCATCAGTGAGTCACAAGCCCCGGGAGGATGTATATCAATGCAAGTATCACAAAGCCGTTTTAACTTCATTATCAGTTGTTTTTCACTCAGAATCCAGAGGCAGTTGGAATTTCTAAGAAACTACAATCCAGGTAATTTTAATGTAATATGATCTGAATTATAAAAATTCTTATTACTACAATGTCTTAGGGAAGTCACAGCTAATTCAATAAGATGCAAGATCAGCTTCATGTTTTATGGAAAACAGCAATTAAAACTATCTAAGAAGAGATTCAAAAGCATTTAGGCAACCTTTTCCTGTAATTTTTGTTAATTTTATATATATTTTTTTAGTTGTTTCAAACAGCACAGAAGAGTATCTGGGAGTAATACCTACTCTGTTTCATGTAGAAATGTTAAAGTTACCAGATGTCCTTGATTCATCTTGGCAGTCCCCATGTGCTTTTCATCATTTGTCTCGTGGCAGAAGACACTAATTAAAATGAAATAGAGTAGAACTCCACGCTCAGGACACTTTGTCAACTTTTGGCACTACGGTCAAGCCGGGATTGTTTTGCTCTGATATTAAATAGAGAGCTGATGGCTCCAAGCCATGCTGGCATTTGTTTGTGAGAGGGAAAGGTGGAAAACCATTCCCATTAAGCTGGAACACGGAGCATACGGTGGCAGTGGGTGGTGTGGCTGAGCCAGGCAGGAGGCTCTGCTGGCCCTGCTCTCTGTGGGGCCACTGGGGTGCCCAGCTCCCCCAGAAGGAGACACCCTGCCCAGAAAAGGAAGCTCTGAGCACCCACTGATCCCTCAGAGCGTGTGCTCGGTGCTGTTATGAAATGTTTGGCGTGTTCAGGAACTCTGGGAGCTAAATTTAGAGTGCCTGGCTGTGCTCTGGATATCACTGGGTGGATGGTTCCTATGGGATGAGGGGAGGTGGACGGAATAAACTCACAATTCCCAACGTTCTGAGTCTGAGACCATTGGAAATCATATGGAGAATAAGGCTTGCACTTGATGTGAGAAGGAAACACAGGTGTTTGTATAATTTTCACTTTAATCGTGTTGCTTTTTGTTTTAAAAAAGGACATTTTGCAGTATTGTTTTGGAAGAAATCTGTTTCATTTTAGCCTTAAAATGATGCCTTTCTCTTTTCCATTTGCTGTTGAGTAATAAGCAGTGTTTGAACAGGCCTTGGGGAGGTGACCTGAATTGTATGGAGGGCAAAAAGAAGTGCTTTTTAATTATTTGTAGCCTTTGGAAGTGACTCCTGTGGACTGACAAACAGAAGACAGGTAGGGTCATGAAGAATTCTTTGGCAATATTTAACATACATGATACATGATCTGATACCATACAAATTAGTTTAACAACAAAAATCCAATGGTAAATGGATTTTTAGCCAGGTTCCCTCTTCACACTAGAGATCTTTCTTTAAAAAGTAGAGCGTTTTCAGTAAACCTGAATTAATGGTAGCAGCTGCATTCAGTTTTAATAATTCCAGTTGCTTAAGACTAAAGACAGAATTTGTAAGGAATAGAGCAAGAGGACTCTTGCTGACAGAGTCAACATCCATCACACTGCAGTTCATTTTCTTAGGTTCAGTCTGGTCAACTGCAGCTTTGAAAAGCTAAGTAACTTCTGTCACCACAGTTTTACTGGCTCCTTGACCATAATAAGGATTTTTTGGGGTGTTTCTAAACACCAAAGTCATTCTCTCTTTTTCTTTCTCTTATTTTTTTTTTTTTAATTTTTTGAGGTCAAGTCAGATTTTCCAGATTAATAGTCAAAGATTATTCTGAAATATCCCCATCCATTGCAAAACACAGGATTTTGGGCCTGAATCCCACTTCCAGCTGTCATGGAAATTTCCAGTCCCATCCCAAAGGAAAATTCCATTTTCAGCCTTCCATTCAGACCCCTGTTTAGGAAAGGTTGTGCTTTGAATTAGTGTCTCTCTCAAAACCCATTGATGAAGCTCATTCTAACTTCTTTCAACAGCCTCAAACCCTATGCTTTAACCACAAATACTTGTGTTCATTTCACAAATTAATGAATGAATGGCTTTTAAAGAGATAGATTTATGTGACGGAACACATTTACTATCAAAAGTGTAGTAAGGAGTAAGTTTATCTAGTAAAAAAAAAAAAAGTGTTATAATCTCTTATTGACACTCTGCACTTTATAGACATTATATTCTTGCTAAGGAGACAACGTGTTCTTTAGCCCAAAACATTTTAATTTAGTAACATATATGATACAAAAAGAATTACTAAGCGAGTGTAGTTGTAACTGTGTTGCTAAAATTGCAGCAGTTCACACTAAATAAATTAAGAGTATTAGAGGGATATGTGTCAGAAATTTAAACCTCCAAAATAATGGAGGCTGAACAAGTATTCAAACGCATATTCATGACCTTTGAGAAAAACATCCAGACCCAATTAAAACCATTTGTTAAGGTCTGTAGGGTTTCTTTTTTACTTTACTACTATATATGTTATAAAATATTTTAAACATTCCCCCTTCTCATTGTTTGAAACTTAAATGTGATTTTTTTTTTTTTTTTTTAATATTCCAATGTGTCTTTGGCTCCATTTAAATCAATGGCAAGTAATTATTGTAAAAATGAGCAGTATTAGTATAATTCTTGAAGTCTGACTTAGTAAAATACAGACTTTTCTATGCATTATTTTGGCACATAATCTAACATTTTTACTGCTTGTGTGATGATGGAACTATTGGTTTTAATGCCATTTATTATTTCAATAGATGGAGTTCAAACTGTGTAGAGCTCAGGCTCTCTAATAGATAGCAAGTGGATATTGTAGGAATATTTCTTGCTTGTGGGAAGCAAGACAGGAGCTGACAGTTTAACAGTGGGTGCATTTGTGGGTGAAATTCAGTACTGGGAAAGGGGCCAGTTCCCGGTGATTTCATTCTTCAGGAGAGAACATTAATGCAGGCATCTTGCTGCAGCCAAGGGAAGGCAGCTCCCCTGACCCTAATCATCCCAAATGAGTGCATGGCCAGCAGCCACGAGACACCGAGTGCCCAGCCTGGGGAGCAGCAGAGGGAAGCCCGGAGCAGGGAGCAGCTGGCACCGGTTCCTGGAGCCGAGGGGCTGCGGAGGAGGAAGGTTGGCCAGGCTGCTCCCGGCCACTGCCAGCGCCACATTCCCCTGCAGCCAGGCTCCCTGCGGAGCTCTTAGCACGGCCCTGCTGCTTTGGGAACACAGGCTGACCCCCTGCTTCTCATCCTTTTAAAAAACTGTTATTTCCCTTCTGTAATAGTTGTGTCACTGCCATGTCAGCGCTCTGTTTATTCTATTTCTCTCAAGGATAAGAAAGCATCAAACCATGCTTCTAAACTTAGCACATTTATTTCATGTAGAATTATTATGTGTTAAAACAGTACAACACATCTTCATGTGCCTTTCTAAAGAATTATTATCCTGAGCATGGTAAAGACAGTCTCTTTGGAGAAGCTGGAGCACAATGACTTGCCCTTCCAACTTCTCTATCTCCTTTTATTCAGGACAAGGGTGGAGTTCAAACAGCATGCAGCAAGGATTTCACCTTTGTTGTTAATCCATGAAATACCTGAGAATAAATACGTTCCTAAATTTAGTCCCCCTGTAAAATAACCAAAGGAACTGAAATTGAACAGGAAAATGGTTGTTATAATTTAAACATACTTTTCTCAGCTCTGTATTCCGCTCAGGTTAGTGGCCAAATCTCCTTTCCACATGAGGCAATCTCTTTGTGACTGACTTCAAGAGGAGACTGATTTCCTACCTTGAACCTTGGCTACACCTTTTTATCACCAGTTAAGCTATATTTTCTCCATGTTTTCTTCAAATTACTCTACTTAGAGGCTTGCTGGTTCCTCAGTATTTCATAATGGAAAAGGTGCAGAACACATCAAAACAGGAACAAATAAATTGTTATTTTCCCTGTCCAAACTAAAGAGTTTCAAAGCAGGACTCAGGGCTTGAGAATTCTCCTGTGACCGCAGTGTTTGCCTGTTGCCAAGGCCCGTGGTAGGATCTGGATTCTTGTTGTGGTGACAAAATAAGTTCCTCCACCACAAGTAAATGTCGTCCCCACAAAATGGAATAATTTCAAACTCAGCATGACAGTTAAAGCCCTTGGCTTTCAGCAGACTGGGACTTAAGCAGCAAATCAAACAACCCATTTTCTTTTTGATGCAGTGCCATGAGGTTGGCTACTTAGAATCTCACTTTTTGTGCAGACATAAAATTCTCTTCTGCCCCTCGCTGTTGGGCACTGATGCTGTGACATGCATGAGAATTCCAGGCACATATGGGAAAAAATCAACTTGCCATGGAAGATTTACTGGTGAGGCAATGGTCACATTTTTTCATTCTCTGCAATTCTGAGCCTGGAACAGCTTCCTTGTCTCCAGCAGATGAGAACGAAATCTGGCTCATTTAATCTAATTTTGTCTCCGCCAACAGATCCTTCTCTCAGTTCTGGTCTGCAGAGCTGATTTTTATAATAGCTTCAATAGGAAAAAAAGAGTGAAAAATTTAAAAATCTCAGCGTAGAGAGCCTCCAATGTTTCCTCTGGACATTTTGTAACTCCCACTGTTAACCAGTAACTGTGCATCTTTTTTATTTGAATAATGATGCCCATAACACTGGAAGCTCTAACATTTACTCGCCCAAGACCATTTATCTTGTTATAACAGGATCAGCATCTCAGCTGGGGCTTCTGGATGCTACTCTACTACAAACAAAATTAAAACCACCAGTCAGCTGAAATTAATAGTATATGGGAGCCACACTGTTATTCTGCTCACACACGGAAGGACGTGTGGAGGGTGTTAAATCCCAGCACAATGCACTGAGAGAAATGGATTTTTCCATAATTACCAAACCCCTTAGATAGCAGCTATCACCAGGAACCAGGAGAGCTCCTGAAAATATTGCTCCAACATTCCTAATGGATGGTTTTCCTCGTGCCTACGTAGGCAAGAGCCCCGGTGCCAGCTCCCCCCTCCTCCTGCACTGCAATACGTAGGAAGGCTTTATTCCCAAACGGGAGCGTTTGCTTGCTGACATCACATGCGCTAGGATCCTTTTGTTTGCCTGTGTCTCCTGCATTGAAATGTTTGTCTGAGTCACAGATCCCGCTGCCTCCCTTCCCCTATGTCATGCTGCTTACTTCAGAGCTTCTCCCTGACTCACAGTTTTTAAATTTTGACACAGCCCAGTTTGCTGCATGGCAACTCAATATTTTTCCCTTTAATATTTTATTATGTAATTTTTATCTAAACCCTGTAATGATGCAAAAAACCACTGCCCCCTTTTTTTTTTCAGCCTTTTTTGAATAAGGAGATTTTATGACTCAGATTCAGCACTGAATTTTGTTTCAAGGGAAAGTCAGTTTAGTGTATACTAAATAAAAAATTTAAGATAGTGACTCCCACAACTTGAATTCTCCATTTAGCTGCTGGCTGAGTTTCCTCAGCTCTAACGTTACTGAGTGCTCTGCCAAAAGGGGTCATCTCTGTGCATGTGTACAAACACTTCTCATAATTGAAGTAATTACTATTTTGCAGTGCAGCACCTTTCTTCTCCTCTAATAATCTCCCTGATTTGTTTTGTCTTAATAAAAAAGAGGACAAAAAGCTGCTGTGCTTTCAGTATACATTCATTTTCTGGGTTTAGACTCTGGAGCTGCTGATATTGCTGGTACCTAAGTCTGGATTTCCCCTTTATTACAGCCACGAACAAAAGAGATCCTGATTACAGCAAGAAATGAAATGAAGAACGTGGAGGTCATGGCTGTGAAGCAGTTTGGTTCAAGCCTGAGCCACGGTAAAATATTCCCACTTACTGAGAGAGAAACATAAAATTTTTGTGCTGGATTAAATCCTTTGTCCTTCAGACCCAGCCTTTCATCTCTGTTGTTGCCACTACAGGACAAAGGAGAAGTTCAAAGCAGAGCTTTGACTGTCCTTGACCAAGGACTTTGCGGCAGGTGAGGGCTAAAGCCCCACTCTGGTGTAGCACTGAAAGCTGCATTTCACTGCCTGTGTCCTGCTCTGAGCCTGTGGTGAGCACAGTGCTGCATCCAACCTCCTTAAAATTCAAGTACACACAAAGCCAGATGACTGATCCACATGCCTGTCATTAAATGTGCTGTGCTAGAGGCTCTCATTTCATTGTCTTTTTACCCAGTGTGAAAAGATGGAGCTGTAGCCCCCACATCCACCCCCCCTCCAAAATAAACCCAAACAAAAAAGCCCCAACCCCAAAGCTGAAGCTGTCTCTTATAGAAAACATAGATTTTTATTATAAAAGTACAATTATGCCATATACAAAGGATTTTTACGCCATAGAAATTTGCACGCTGCAGTCTTAATATTAAAGTCCAGAGCAGGAACTGAAGTTGAGTCTCTCAGACTGCCTTTGGCTGCACGTTCACTCGGCCACTGCTCTCCTGCAGGTCTTTAACATCCCACTTTGGAATCACTGTTGCTTCTCCTCCTCTGTCCGTGGCCTTTTCCGAGGGTTCAGCTCAGTCCCTTCTGTGCTGGGAGTGACAGCTGGAGGCTGCACATCTCGGAAGCCATGGGACTGGAAGATGAAAGGAAAATCATGTGCTAGGGCTTGTAGTTATAGAAAGCATGAGTAACCAGTTCCCAGAAGATCAGAATGAAGGATCATGCTGCCATTCATTCGGGATGAGCAGCCACAGAATGTTTATAGACCAGGTTAAGCTCAGCGCTGCAAACTTTACAACACATGTGCCAACTCATGTCTGCTCATTTTGTTTTTTAAAGATATTTTATTTTCACCAACCAGGCTATCACTTTCATTTTACTGTTTATCACCCCTATGGCTATGAAAAACTGCTTCTCTGTATATTAACTTATGTTGCCTATTTAAATAAATCAAAAGACAAATCCATCAGCTCCCACAGAAGCAAGAAGATGACTGGATTAATTGCCTCAGTCATTTTCAGAAACAAAACTGTGAATTTCTACAACCTAGGATATTTTTGTTCCATGTACCTACTTAATGAACTGAAAACATCAATGAGACATTGTAAGGGAACAGCAGAGCTGAATCTGTCTCTAGACTGCAAAGACTGTTCCAGCATAGTAATTTATGGGACACAATGGGATGAAAACCTTTGACTGCCAAAACCTAAATGGAGAAGTGAAAACTACATGCTGCTACTCAGGAGAGTGCTTGAAGTGATCTATCTGGCCTAGCACCACTCATTTTCTGTTACTGTAGCTCACAATTTAATTTTTAACCGTTTTAAAATATGAGAGATCTCAAAGTCAGTTAGTTAAACATATTATGGATGCAGATGGAGATGATGAGATGTTGTGTGAAGCCTGCAACTCTCTGACTTCCCATCTCCAGCCAAATGCTGTGCAGAGAGCACTGCTGACAGCTCAGTGAACACTCTCAGTGCAGACTTAGCAAGGAAAAGGCATTAATCAGAACACAAAATTGCTCTGCTGATCCAAAATGCTCAGGGAGAGTCAATGTGGGGACGAGAGCATTTCAGGAACGCTGACATTTTGAGATGGTGCAGTGTGAGGAAAGCAGAGGCAGAATTACCATCAGAGGTGACTCTTCCCAAATGCCAGTGTGTCCCACACCGAGATCAATCCCAAATCCCAGCAAAACGTCTTGTCTAAGTCTCCCATTCCTGTATTTCTATTTCTGAATGCCTCACCTCACCCAGCCTGGGCTTTTTAAAGGAACAAACAGCAAGAGCTGCTACAAGGGCAGGATCTGCGCAGCCCCTCTGCTATTTATAAGCAACTCAAGTGTTATTCTAAGGAGCATAATGGGGAATCTTCAAGTTTAATGTTTCACTACATCTAATCTCTGCCATTTCCCTGAGGCACAAAGGTGGATCTGTAGCCAAGTATCCACTTAATCCAGAATGCTGACTCCCAGTGAAAGCATTCCAAGGGTTAGAAGGGCCAGAACATAAAGCAGGCTGCCCAGGATGGATGTTTTGCACTTGGCTATAGGCAGGCACCTTGAAAATACAAGGATTTTGTGTGTATTTGTGAGGTTTGGTAGTGGCTTTCACATGGTGAGGATGTGGCTGCTGGAACCAAGGATGAAGCTCAGTCTTTCATTTTGAATTGTTCCTTAATGTCCTCTGGATTTCACACCCTCTGCAGCAAGACTGGCAGGGGTAGATGTGTTTATTACCTGAGCAGTGCTCCCACTGCTGGCCTGGCAGACCCTCCACAGATCAGGGAAACACAACTCCTACCCAGAATTTAGATCCTGCGTCTCTGTCTTTCACTATGAAATAATCAGGTCACATTCCTGGGAAATTCAGGTGAATCAGCCGAGCTACTTACTCCCTTGTGCATAAATCAATTGCCATTTCTATACTCTGCATTTAAGAATGAATCCTTATCAGCCTGTGGAAGAAAGGATTTCATGGGAGAGGAGTTCCACAGCCCCCTCAGAGTAGTGACTGACTCCAGTGTGCTGGAAAGGACAGGGATAAAAAAAACCCTGAGCTCACTCATGAATTTACACATTTCATCAGCTCACGGGTACGGAGCAGCCACTTTGCCAGTGGAACCAATGCACCTCATTTGCCCATTTCCGAGTCCTAAGGAATGATTACTTTTTAAAATAACTTTCTTTGTTGTTGTTCTTTGCTGGTTATGGAAACACTGGACATGTGTTAACTTTCAGTTTAACTATTGAATGAGAAATGATAACAACAGATTGTTATCAGACCCGAATTTCATTAAATAAATTGAGATAATACAATTTCTTACTAAAAGAAATCATCTGCTGAAGCAATTTATCAGGATTAAGGGAAAAAACCACAGCGATAATCTTAAATTTTAACTAATCTTTGATTAGAATTCACTCTTAACTCTATTTCAAGATAGTGTACATTCATACAGAAGAGGGCATAGATGTTTTATGATGCTTATAAAACTGAAAGAAAAAGGCAATTAAACAGAGATAAAATCCATCTGTTTGTCAGCTGGAGAAAAAAGGACTCACATCACATGATTCCAACAACCTTGGGATGTAGTCCCACTTCCCCTTCCAGTCTTTATAAAAGTGTATATTTGCAGGATTTCTTCTGTCCAGGTGAATACATTCAGGAGTAGGGGGGAAAAAAACCTGATTTCTGTTTGAAAGTTTGAGAATCTCATTTGATGACAGCATTAAAACCTGCAGAAAATGCTATGGCAACGTGTTTCCATGAGGACACGTAGCAAATAGTTATGGAATTGTACCTATGGATGTAACATTTGAGGATGTAAGAATTGAGTGGTGCTGTCTTTTTAAACCTAAATACAGCTTAGACAGCATCTCTTCTCATTAATATGTATCTCAGCACTCCACAATAGGAAATAATCACAGGATTTAACTAGGGATGAATAAGGACTCCAGCCATAAGCTGGAAGCTCCTTCTATGATATGGACAGAAGAGAAAAATCTGTGTTTATTGGCTGTAGGGTCAGTGTAGGATAAACACAGCCTGCAGAGATGGGGAAATACCTATGGAACAAAAGTCTGGAAAGGCCTCTGGAATATCAGGTTTAATTCTGGTCATCCCCATCCTAAAAAGAGGAAAAAAGCCACCTGAGAAACCACACCCTACCTGACCAGGGAGACAATGGCTCAGGTTTCCCAAAATGCAGCTCAGATTGTTCTTGGTTACGGCACTTAGGGCAAAAGTTAACTTCAGGGGCAGATAAAATAAGCAGCACCAGCAGCAGAACAGATGGGGACAGGCTGCCTGAAAAGTTTGATCTGGAAATCAAAAGTGTTTTAACTTTGAGTAGACAAAATGCTAGGTCACTTTTCTAAAGAGAAAAAGAGCAAATTACCCCTAAATCTGGAGTTATCCCAGTATTACTGCTTCCCTTCAGAAGGCAGCTGAAAAGCAACACTAGGAAATCAGCCCATTCTGAGATGTGTCTGAAATTCCTTTCCAGCTGACAGCGTGCTCCCCCCTGGGAACGTCCATGCCCACAGGAACACTCACTGTGATGTGATAGGCTATGGTGGACTCCTTCTGACTCGGTGATTTGTACAACGTGGCCAACCTGATAAAACAAACCCCAGGGAATTATGATTAATTAATACAGTAATAAAAATTCCAAATAGCCCAGTGACCAGAACCAAGTTTTCCTACAGTACCAGTGGAATTCTCAGGGATGTATTTTCATATAGGTCATTCAAAATGTGGATTCCCATCCTTACATGACCTGTCAGCTCAAACACAATCTAGACCTACTAAAAAGAGTGAATGATTAATTAGCCTTGTTTTATCACAGTATTTGATGACATTTTTGGAACAATATCCATCATGAATTAATTCCAAATGTCACTTTCTTAAAATGCAAACAAAAAAGGTTTTGAGCACACCTCTTCCCTACTCCATTAATCACTTGTTCTTTGACCTCTCAAGGATGTGAGAGACCTTCAAGAATTCCAGTACTTCTATGGAGGCTTTTTCCAGAGATTTCCCAAGCCTGTCAATATAACCCAGAGGCTGGAGATGTTCTATTTCTAAGCCTGCCCTTGCCACTGACACACAGCACAACCTTGAGAAAATAGTTTCCCTTTTATTTCTCCTCTGACACTTCCCTGATTTGCTGCATTTAGACTCTAAGCAACACACCTTGATTTGTGTTCTACAGTAAATGCTTGCATAATATAGAGAGAAAATTGCACAGCAGCTCAAAAGGAAAGGGGTTTTCAACCCTTGTCAGTGCTGCACCATGCCCACCTCCCCAAAACTCACACTTACATAAGCCAATCTAGAAAGTGTTCTGCTCTCTGTAGCAAGACACCCTGCCAAAAATCCTGTTAATTATTTTTGGGGGGTTTTTTCCTCCCTGAGGTGCTATTCTATTAGAAAGCACGTAATTACAGCCTGAGGAACGCTGCCACTTCATGTTAGCTACACAGGGAATTCCTCAGAACACTCAAATGCTGGGTTATACTTGACAAAATTGCCCAAATCTGGAGCTGCAGAAGCCAGGCTTTCACAAGAGCTCAGCTGGAGCCTCTGACTCAACAGGATCTTTTCTCCCAGCAAAGAGAACCCTTAGAATTAAGCTCTGACATTTTCAGGAGGGGAGAGAAAGGAAACAGGTATCAGACTTGGCCAAAGCACATTTTTTAAAAAGGCAAATGGATCCTCAAACGATCTCTGTGCCTTAATACCCTGATCTAAAAACAATAAAATCCACAATGGATCAGCTGTAGGTAGCCTGTGCAAAAATTAGGCAGCATTGAGCTAGTTCTGCATGTACAGTTGTATCCAGAATTGCTGTTTCTGCAGGCCCCACTCCATGTTAGCTGCAGATTTACATCAGTAAATAAGCCAGGTTTGTCTCTCCTTGGCTTGTGTTCTGGGACTTCTATCTGCAGCCTTCCTAGCTCTGTTGCAGAAGAAAAAAGTTCTTTTCATATATAAAATTAACTTTTGTTCACTCTGTAATCATTATGTTGATGCAACTTGTCCTAAAAAGACTGTTAACTAATCAGTGATGTTAATTTAATTCCAAATTAAACAGCCTGCTGTAATCATCCTGCATTGCCTTCAAACTTAGAATTTAAAAACAAAACTCCCCAAGAAAGTGTCACTGCATTTTTCTTTCAAATTCAACAAGAAAAACACTGCACAACAACATTCTAGCACCATTTTTGCTCACTGTTTCCACAAGATTAGGGAATTGCAGCACAGCTCCTTAATCTCAAGCTGCTGCATGGTGATATTACAATTAGGACAAATTTAACTAACCAGGAAAGAGAAATGACCTTGCAATATAAAGAGGGGAAACAAAGAACCAGGCAACAGAGGAGGTCTCACTGCAACAAACAGAATTTCACACTGTTTTTTGGAAGGTTCAACCCCTGAAGCTCAGGGTCAGCAGCCTGTCCTGGGGGTTACAGGCTAGGTGTCTTTAAAGCCTTCTTTGGCATCTCTGGAAACACTGAGTAAAAAAACTCTTCTCAAAGAAAATATAGTGGCTACAACCAACCATGGAGGAGTGGGAGGTTCTTTATAATGATACTGTTGAAATTGCACCTCTTCAGAGTGAGGCATAAAAATCACCCTGTAACCCACCAGCTTACTTGCACTACGGCAAAAATTCACATTAAAATGAGAAGAGTTTTATTAAAAAATAAACAACCCAACCCTATCTTGAAAAATGCAGATAGGAAAATAAATTTGCTACTCAGGCACCAGATCCTAAATCCTTGTGTCTCAACAACTGCCATGAGGATGTTACACTTTTATAAACCATGGCATCTTGTCAGGAAGAACCCACCACGGTGGGGAGGAGGAGCCTGACAGTTCAGCCCACACTGTCCCAGCCTAAATGAGAAAATTCCCGAACCTTGGGAGCCTGGGATGTGGCACAGCAAGGCCAAGAGCCAAATTCAAACCCCTGCTTGGCCCCCATGGCCCATTTGAAAGATTCCCCAGTGCCATATTTGTATTTGTGTGGATTTTCCTCACATTTTCCCTCACCTCTGACTGTTGTCCCAGTGGAAGATTAAACGGATGGTGGCAGCGTGTCCCCAGCTTTCTCCTGAGGAACACAAAATGACAGATCATTATCTCTTACACTACCACCATCAGCAAGCTGAAATGAAATTAATCTTCAAAAACCCCCTGTGATTAAAATAAAATATGTCTTTCTTGCAGTGATGCATCACATCTTTTTCAGACTTGCAAGGATTTCACAACAAATAGACCTAAAAAGGAATAACCTCTGTAGTCTGTTTTACAGAAATCTTGATGCAATACTTCCATATTTGTAGAAAAATTTCCTGGATGCCCAATAAAGCACAGGTGCTAGAAAGGCCTTGAAAACAGAGGCAGCTTGAAGAAGAGATTTGTCTAATTACTACTGAAGAAGTATGGTGAGGAGGTCTAAATCCTACTTCAGAACTGCGATATTCTGTCTCTCAGGCATAATTATGAACAAACATCAGTCCCTTTGGGATGCCAGCTTTGGGAGAAAGTCAACCATTATTAAAGCATTAAGGGCCCCTGAAGCAGTCTTCTGCTTCTGACAGCAAAATGCAAAATAACACAACCTGCAAGAAGCAGGGAGGTGTGGTGGAAAGAGAGAAGGAAGTTTAGATTTTTATCTTACTCCAGGGGCTCAATCCCAATGTTTCAGCTCGCACCTGACCACAAGTCAATGTACAGACATCTTTATTGGGTGCTTTTTCCTCTATTTATCCCTGTCAGCACTCCAAAGATGGATTGCAGTTTAAACCAGTCAAGTCTCCCCTGTGCACCTGCTCTTTGCTGCCCACCCCTCCCTGGCCTCCCCCACATCCCCAGACCCTCATGCCCCCTGTGCTCTGGTATTTATTAGAGCACAGAGAAGGAGAAAAAATGATCCTGCTGTAATGAAGACCTAGACCCTTTAGGCATCTCGCCAGATCTTGCTCCACTACATCTCAGTTGAGATTAAAGATTTTGGCTCTCAGAAACGGCTCTGAGGCAGAGATCAAAACACATTTTACAACGGCTACAAATTCCACACCAGCAGATTTCCAACTGCATTGAATAGGAGTGAAAAATGCTACTGTAAAATGAGATATTTCTGAGTTGAACTGCCTGTAGATTAATATTTGACCTCCTTTCTAAATATATTTAGTAGAAATGTCTAGGAACACCCAGCTTAGCTATCACTAGTGGGAAAGAAAGCTGTCCCCTTCATAAAGCTGCTGACTTAATACCTTGCAGCATCTGTGCTTTTTTCTTTTTTTTTTTTTTTCCTCATAATTAAGATCTTCCCTTCTGCTCAGGAGCTGAATAAGAGTTTAGAGATTAATGCTTTCACGAAAAAGCTGTTTCTCAGGCTTACCAATCAATGGGGGGAAAAACCCAATTTAGTGATTTTACTTGGGGGTTTGCTGTTCCTTTGGCTACACCAAACCATGGAGCAGTGGGAGGTTATTTAGCCTTTATGATGAGGCTTTTGAAACACCATCTCTTCAGAGTAGGGCATCAAAACCACTTGGTTAAATATTTTCCCAACTGGTACCAAGTTGCATTTTTGGAAGAATTCACACTGCTCAGTTTAACAATACTGTGGTCACACACGCTGGAGAGAGTCACAGTCAGCTCCACAGGAGGTCATGTCAAATTAATTGTTTGTGAAAGAAAATATGCACAAGGCAAGGCAGGATATCTGGGATTTATAAACTCCCCTGAATGTCTTCACATTCTTTACTGTCCCCATGACTCAATAAACACAAGAGCTCCCAAACAATGCTGGCCAGTGAAAAAAGACAGACTCTATTAGCTTTAATTGAGTTTGTAGCCAGAAAGGCTGCCAAAAATAATCCATCAGAGAGAAAGAGGCAAAACTGACAAAAAGGGTCAGATCCTGGGAGCTGGGTCTGCCTGCACAGCTCCAAATTCCATGTTCTCCCCATTCCTGCAGGAGGTGGGCTGTGTTTGTTCATTTTACCCTCTAGCTCTGCCAAATGGTTTGGTGCTTGTACAGACTCTGGGAACATCTTTGCCTTTGTACTGTCCCCTTCTCTCTCCTCTTCAGAGCAAAAGAATCATTACTTAGCTCACAGAAACTGAAGAATTTGTGCCCTTTAAGTGAATCATAAAATAATGCAATGCTACAGCCTGAAATAAGATTTAAATGCTGAACTTTTCCTTAATTTGTAGAAATCTCCACTTCAGAACTGTTTTATTTTCCCCTGTGACTGCAGCAGAAAGGCATGGATGAGGTATCTGCTCATTACAGGGCAAAATGGAGCAGCCTGCAAAAAAAAATCTTTAACCTGGCTCAGGGCAGGCTGTGCCTGAGGATCCCCCACAGAACTTCCCTCTACATCATAACTGCAGAGAATTCCAGTGATACAGCAATTATGAAATGCCTTTGCAAATAATTAATGGGACATGTTCAAGGGTAATGGGAAAATAAACAATTTGAACTGTTTGGGAGAGACAGTAAAGGGTTCTCAGGGAATTTAGGAAATTGCAGCTTAGTTTGGGGTATGCAACCATTAAGCTAGGTTCTTTTTTGAGTGATTTAACCTTCTCCTCACCACATCCCTGCTAGAGGTTTACAGCTCCCAGGCACATTTTTGGATGATTTCTCTTTGTACATAAAGCCAAAGGAAAGGAACTCATATATCAATTGTCAACTCAAAGCTCAACACTTACCTAAAGCAGGTACCAATGTGGATTGGCTTTGTCCAATCCTTGTTGTCATTTGGTTTGTCAGAACTACCTGAAAGAGGAAACAGAAGCAAAAAAATAAGATAATATCTTGGAAATCAGCTTACTGGTAGGAGGGACGAGAGGGAATTTTCAAAAAAGCTTTTACTGGTGAAGCAGTTACTCAGGGAAAACTCTTGGCAACAGTAATGAAGAGAAACTTCATTAAGGTAAGGGTGCCTCATCTTTTCAAAACGAATTAAGAGTACCCTGCAAAATGTATTTTTGGTTTGAATGGGAGATTTCTTTCATTCAAGACTTTAAAGAAATCTCAATTTCTCCCTCCCCAAGGGAGATAAGCTCCACACAACTTATTTATCCCACAACATTTGTCCTAAATGTTGTCTGGATCTATGTTTAGCTGCAGCTGACTTGCACTGGCCCTCCATAAGGAGCCAGCTCTCAGTCCCTGGGGTAAATTAACTTGGTGGTGCTGCTCACAATGTGCATTAGCCTGGTGATTAACTGAATTTCTGTGCCTTGTCGTCTAAAAATGCACATGTGGGTACAACACAAAGCAGAATGGAAGTGAACAGACAGAGAGGGGGAGTGTTTTCACAGCCCCAGTCACTTGTGGGAGGCTCACAGACAGTCTAGGTTAGATCCCTGGCAGAAGTGGGGGTGGGTGAGACAGAAAAGAGCCAGGAATATTAATGACAAAGTTCATTAAAAATGAAAAATTGTACCCATCTAAGACCCTAGAGAGTTCCATTGTTTGACATGCTCAGAGGATTCTTGTTGGAGTACTTCAGAAAAGTATGTGAGAGCAAAGAGTTCCACTGAGCACACCCTGAAACAATCACACAGCTGAGAGCCCGGCACAGATATTGCACATTTTAGAGAAGTAACTCATCACAAGTGCATGGTAACAGCCTCAAATAGGCTCCTCATCTCCCTGCTGGAGAAGGGCTGGGCATCCTCACTCCAAGTCCAGCTTTAGGATCTGTCTTCCTACCATATTAGAGCATCCAGAGCTGCCTGACCAGCAATCCCTGGCATGCAGGCTGGATTTAGCCTGCTCACAGCTCATGGAACTAACTCAGACACCACTAACAAGAGGGCCAATCTAAGCAAAACCATTCCTGAAGCTCTGATTCCTTCAGCAAGAGTTTATTTAGCAACTTTGTACTAAACTGCTGCCTGGTTCAGAAGAAATGATTTCTACATTTTATCCTCGACCAAAGAAGAACATTGTCCAATGACAGCAGCTGCTGTTCAAGGTCACCAGATGTCAAACTGTGGGGGAAAGCACTCATGAAACCTGAGGCTGTGCAGATCTTGGAACATCATCTCCCTGGTGCCCAGAGCAGCAGGAAGGAGCTCCACAGCTCAAATCAGGACACTTTGGGAATGCTGGGCTCTTCCCTTCTCACAGCTGCCAGAGGAAGCACAAGAGGAGTTTTATTTTTAGCAGCTCGGAACAAAAGCCAACTACGTCAGAGAGTTGTGGGCGACAAGGTCACAAGTCACCTGGACACTGTTAGAGACACGAGCACCATTTTGAGGGCTGGGGAAGCTCCAATTCTTGAACAACGCTTCTCTGAGCTGTCAGAGACTTCCAAAAACAACTTCTGGAACAGCTGCAGCTTCCCAGTGCCATCTGCTGGCTGCGGGTCTGCTGCCTCCAGTCAGTGACGTAGAAACAATGCCCAGGAAGGAGGCTCTGGGTTTCCATGGATGCCAGAAGAGAAGGCCAATCCAGCAGATAGTGGTTTTCCTCCCTAGGAATGCTAATATTTATTTTTAAACAGTGAGTGGAAAGTTGTGTTGGAACTGCTGAATGCTCCCAGGTATTTTTGTAGGTAAAGTCAGCAGAGGAGCATTCCTTGTCCAGCCAAATCATTGGAGATGATGGCAAAGAGCATTAGAAATGCAATGCTACCACTTAATTAAGATCCACAGGAGACTATTGATGCAAATCTTACTTATTTTTGCAAGTCTAGGATTATCCCACCTTTTAGGTGTTTTGCCTTTGTGATCCCTCTATATTCACCAACTTAACTAGCAAGAGTGAATGCAGAGAGTATTACTGCAGCTTTATTTTGCTATTTAGAGACACATTTCCTTAATTCTTTGTAAAAAAATGTAGCATCTTTTGGGATGGAAGCCTGCCCTGGACTTACAGCTGCTCTGTGGTCGTTGGCTATGATGATGAGCTGCTGTGCCAGCCCGTTCAGCAGCCTCGTGCGCAGGGACAGGTCCTCAAAGTCGTGGCGGAAGGGAAAGGCAATTCCATCAATCACCACCAGCCGGACCTAAAGGCAGGAGGAAAGATAAAAAACTGCCATTACTATCCAATAAAAAAATGACAGAAAGCAGCAAGACCTGTTTTTAAGTGCACTGGAATGTTTTATTTCATCCTTAGGTGAACACGACTGGCAAAGCTGGACTTAAGCCTTGCAGAGGAGAAGCTGGAGAAAATAATCATTAAACAACAGAACTGTACTTCAGTCAGCTCTCCACAAACAACAATGAATTCACCTTCTCCCTCAGAAATTAAATCCCAATCAGAATCAGAATTCAGGCTCCCCGGAGTCACTGCTGAGATAACTCAGCTGTTATCAGTGATCTGTCTTGGAAACACAGAGTTTAACAGATGCCTAAAGGCATTCCAGGCACACTGCACTGGAGCTGAGGATCTATCTTGCCTCAAGATGTTTGCTTTGCTGAATTATTTCTTTTGTAGCAATCATTAGCTGAAGTCAGAGCACGCTGCAGCTGCTGGCTCATCACCCTCAAGACACTGTATAAACATTAGTCTGGGATTTTGATTTATTCTAACTTCATTTGTTGTGGCTGTTTTGATGACCCAAGTCTGAAATACAGGAGGGAGATGGATGGTCTAACAGTGCCTGCATATTCAGATGCCACTCAAATCCCTGGTGTCTATAAGTTCCTGCATTACTGCACAAAATAACAAAGTGGAAACAACACAAAAATCCTGATTTTCTGCATTACTGATTTAATTCATTACTGGGAAGCCTCTTTAGGACTGGAATATACAAGCCTGCACAGACATCACTGTGAAATGGTCCTGGGCCTCCAACTGAAAAAAAACCCTTAATTTGCAAAAGAAGATTAAATAGTTGGGATTAAAAGAAGACATTAATCATATTCACATTTTCCCTCCTTCCTACAAATTATTTTCCACAAATCTACATTTTCCTCATGTATCATGTCTTTAAGAACAATGAGTTTAACAGCATAAACATGACTCATGCTAGACAGGAATGTATACATAGTTATATAACTTGACTATCACAAATATGTCCAGGCAGGATGCAATTTAATTAAATTTCTCCCAGAGAGCAGACAGGAGAACTTAAAGTATTTAAAGTGTAAAGAGAGGTAACACCGGCCTTGTCCATGCCAGCTTGGCTCTAGTAGACCTTAAAGAATTAGGTTTTTTACTACAAGAATATTTTCTAACAGTCTTTCTCATGTTATTAACAAGATCTCAAATAAATTCATATTTCTAAATGGCACATTTGGACCTCTAACTCTACATCTTTCTTATCTCTAAACTTCTACAACTTTTCCTCTCTCCTAAAAACCCTGAAATCTGGAGGCTTCCTGTGGTCCCAGACTGGGCTCCAGAGGGATCAGACTAATTTTAATGAGAGCTGGACTGCAATGAGCAATCTGTCAAGTCACTTCTAGCCTGTCCAAGGAATCAGCAGAAGGTCTTGTGGTTCTCCTGCAACCTTCATCACTTCAGGCTGCAGGCCAAGGCCAGATAATCAGCACAGATGGTTCCAGGGAGCTGCAGCCCAGTGGAACTGTGCTAATGAAGCCATGTACTTTCCAGAAGAGCAAACACAACAGGGCACCGTTAGTACCTGGCAGGGAAAGGGAAATACCAGACTACACTGAGCACAAGTGAGGCTCCCATCTGTGTTTTCCAGAACATGACAGCTCCCATAAATGAAAAATTTTGGAATATATGCAAAAGACATTCTAATTCAACACTGATTTTTGCTCTGATAGAACAAGGCACAGTCATATTTCCCAGATCCTGACAGGGAGTGATCTGCAGTGCAGAACCCAGAAATCTGGAGGGGAGGTGGTGAAAATCTGCCTTACAATAGCATTTTTCTAAGACATTAGGTACTAAGAAACTTTCTGGCTGCAGTCCACCCAAGAGTCAAGCTGCAGGCTCTGGTTGCTTGTAGCAACAGAAGATGCACTGAAAAGAAGGAGAGTCACTTGGATGGTGCAGGATATTTCTGGTCCTCAGTGCTATTTTAGGGCAAAAAAAGTGGCACCAAGGCTTTCTGATGGCACCCTCATGGTCACCGCACACCCCTTGGCTGTGAGGCCCTTGTGAGGAGCAGTTCTGTGCTGATTCACAGCTCAGTGCTCACAGAAATGGAACATGCGGCAGCACAGACCCAGTGTCCTCAACTCAGAGTGGAAATCAGGAGGATGACAACAGCAAATTATTCTTGAGAGTAATTGGGATGGGAACGAAAAGGCAAACAAGCAGAAGGCTTTACATTTGTACTCTGCTATCAGCCAATATTTTACTGCCAAGCTGACGAGGTACCAAGGTGTTTACTCCTGTTACTACAGCAGACAAAAACTCTTCAGCGTGAAGATGGGTGACACCTCCTGACAAGCCTGCAACAAGCCTTACCTTGGAATGCTCTGACAGGAATTCTGGCAGGAGGTAGACCTGGGCCAGCAGCTCTGTGTAGTCTCGACAACGGAAGTAATAGATGTGAGAGAGGATATTTTCCAAGGAGAAAGTCTCCAAAGCTTTCTGATGATCTGAGAACAAAACAAACAGATGAGTAAATGAGTCAGAAGTCTGTACGAGCATATTGTTACTTTCATCATCCCACCAAACCCTGCCCTCCACACATAGCAACAGCAAAGCCCCCAGAAACAGAACGGGCAAGGTAAGGAATGTGGAAACATATTTTCCATCTGGCTTGAAAGTCAGGAAGGTGGTGAGCAGATGCTATCCCAGCATTTGCACACAGACACACTGGAGCCTCCAACGGAGGCCTCCAACAATGAAAAATTTATTTCTGAAGCAAGAACTTCTCCAGTAAATCATTTTCAAGCCAGAACGCCACCAGAGGACATCAGGGACTATTAATCATCCCTTTGTTTAATATACAGGCAGTAACTCATTTAATACAGTGTCATTTTACCTCAGTTCAAACAGAAGTTTGGTGCATAAATTCTCCATGAGTAACACAAAAGTTGTGTCCTTATCCTCAAGAGACTGATGACTTAGAGAATAAAACTTTTATTAAAGGCAGCCTGGCTATATTGACTTTATGGACGAGCTGAATTCCAGCTACGGTTTTACTCTATGGGCCTTCAGTAGCAACACTACCTCATAAAACTCTGCTGTTCCTCTTTTCTTTCCCTAACTGTTCCTGTGTTTTGAACCAAAACCAAAACACTCAGTTTTGCTCAACAGGTGCAAATATGACCAATAAGGTGCTGCAAATATGATAATTAAGGTGCTGAAAAAAACTGGAAGGAAAAGAGGAAAGGAGGAAGGTCAGACATCAAAATCCCACATGCCACCAAAAACCCCCAAGATTAAAACATTCACAAAATCACCATGTAGAAAAATAATTATTTTTGAAGTAGCCCAGCTCAGTTTGCTCCAGACACAGATGTAGTTCAGGGTTTGATACACAGAGGTGGAAATAAAAAGCTGTCAGCAAACACTCCAAAAGCAACACTGCAGCCTACGAGACACTTGTTTCACTCCATCCTTGCCTCCTCCAGAAAAAAATGACTTGGCAACGTACCCTCTTCTTGCTGAGCCTCAGCAATAAGGTGGCAGTGCTGCACACAGGCAGCTGCAATATCCACCACTCTGTCCACCATAAAACTTCCCTCGGTGTCAATGAACACAGCTTCTCCAGCAACGCCCCCGAAGCACTCCGGGATCTGGACATCCACTGCCAGCTGCATGCTGCCATGGGAAACAGAAATACAGATCAATATTTGCATCCCAGAGCTGTCCCTGCTCACTCCTGGAGTGATACTCCTGCTGAGGAACACACAGGACAGGGAGCAGTACAACCATTATTGTATTTATAATGCTGGAGAAGAATCAGACATTGCAGTCACGACAAGAAGGAAAATGGACTCATTTCATAGCTGAGTTAAACAAAAAGTGATTCTTAGTTGCACACAAGCCTCGGGACAATGAAATACCACAGCTGTGTTTTGCCAACACCGGGTGCTCCGCAGATCTCGGTGATTTTTGTCAGCTGCACTCCACCTCCCAGGATGTTGTCCAGTGCTGAACAGAAGGTGATGATGAAGCCCTGGCTTTGCTCTTCTTCCAGAAGCTCCAGGGCTGTGCACTTTCTGGTGCTACTTGATCCCTCAGCCGTCCTTGCGTGCCCGTGACATTCCTGCCTCACCACCTGCAGCGCTTCCAGCGCCTCTTCCCTGGAGATCCCAATTTCTAGAGAAGCCAAAAGCACAAAACACCACCTTTATTTTATAAGCAGTGACTGATTCCGCAGCATGACACAAAATTATCCATATTCGCCCTGGTACTAACAATGCACACAGCCCTGGTACTAACAATGTGATTTTCAAATTGTTACCGTCGTAGATAATAAAACTATTGATAATCAAAATCCCAGACTGGTTTGGGTTTGAAAGGGCTGTAAAGACAACCCAGTTCCACCCCTGCCATGGACACATGGACACATTCCACTATCCCAGGTTGCTCAAAGCTTCATCCAGCCTGGCCTTGGACACTTCCACAGATCCAGGGGTATTCACAGCTTCTCTGGGCACCCTGTGCCAGGGCCTCACTACCCTCACAGAGAGGAATCACTAGATATATGCCTTGAAAAAGGCAATTTTCTAACTTCAAATAGGCTTATTTTGCTTCAATCACCTAATAAAAAGAGGAGAGATGAGCCTAACAGAATCCCTTCGTTTTCCTGCATCCCATTTACATCCATCAGTGTCAGCCGATCTTTCACCGTTCGCCTATTTTCTTTTATTATTCACTGTGCCCATTTCCCGGAAGCCTCACTGGGGTGCCCCAGGGGCCGGGCCGGACAAGGGGGAAGGGCCCGGAAGATGCCGGGGAGGCTCCGCGGGGCCGAAAGCCGCCGGTACCTTTGCTCAGGCCGCAGGGCCCGGTGTCCAGCAGCTCCTGCGCCGTCTGGAAGCCGGCGGCGGCGAGGCGGGCGCGGAGGACGGGGGCCAGCGGCAGCGTGCCCACCTCCCGCTGCATGGATGCACCGGGATGCACCGGGATGCACCGGTACCGGGAGGCACCGGGAGGCCCCGGATAGCTCCGGACACGCTCCGGGCGGGCCCAGCGAGCGGCGGTCGCTGCCGGGCCCGCCCACCGGGCCCGCCCCTCACGGTCCGGCCCCGCCCCTCACCGTCCGGCCCCGCCCTCACGGTCCGGCCCCGCCCTGGCGCGACCCGGGCAGGCGGCGGCGGCGCTGCGCATGCGCGCTGGCGTTCCCGCGTGTCGGGGCCGTTCGGCGGCGGGTGAGCGGGTCCGTGTGGGCCGCGAGTGGCCGCGAGTGTCCGCGGGCTCCGGGAACGGGCTATAGCGGGCAGGCCCCGCCGGGAATGCCGCTGGGTGTGTCCCCCTGTGTGTCCCGGAGAGACCGCTGCTCCTGGCAGGTTCTATGGTCTCCCGGTTGTCGCCTCTCCCGTCCCCGCTGTGCTCCCGCAGCGGCCGGTCCGAGAGGTGCTGTAAGGGAGGGCTGAATTCCCCTTCCAGCTCTGGATAGTTCTGCAGGAGGCAGATGTAACTTTAAGTACATTCTGAAGTTCAGAAATAAGTTATTAAGGTTGAGGTGCTTTGCAGCTTGATGGTGTTTCCTACCTTTTCCCACTTGTGTTCAGGAAAGAAGATGGCTCATCCCATCCCTCTCCCATTTCCATGCCCAGTCAAGCTTGGCAGTGTAAAAGGAGACTCCCTGGAAGCTGAACTGCATGACTATGTCAGGGAAGGGAACTATGTGAAAGTGAAGAAGCTTCTGAAAAAAGGTAAAAGCTAAGTTTAGACAAGTACTGACAGAAAATATTTCCTTTCTCCTCTGTTCTTTTATTTCAGGTAAGAAATAGTCAGCATACTGCTTGTAGAATCCAGTTCTCTGAGTGAAATACATTAACAAAATGATTTATAGCTGCCCTTTTCCATTAAGTGGGAATAGTTCTCAAGTCAAAAAATGTATTAAAACAAGTTAGTTGAAAAGAAAACTAATCTTTTATAAGTAAAGGGCTCATGAGGACATAACTGAGGCATTGTAAAACTAAAGTTCTGAAAGACAGCTGTAGGAATATTCTCTTTAAATGGGGTTTTATTCCGTATTGCCAAACGCTCAGGGTACTGTTCAGACGTTAAGGATTTTGACAACCAGATTTGTAGCCGCATAGGAACAGGGAATTTTGTACACGGAACCCAACACTCGGTGCGGTTTTGTTCCGGTTTTAGGATCGCGGATCTCGGTGGGTTGCGCTCATCCAGAACTGCACCTCCCCAGGGCGGGGCTGGGCGTGGCCGGCGCTGCGCTCTGATTGGCCGGCGGGGCCAGAACATGCAAATCAAGGCGGCGCATCCCCACCGGCGCCACGCGCGGCCGTTCCGTGGGGCGCGGGCGCTCCCGCGGGGCTCGGGGCGCGCTCCCGCGGCCGCGGCGGCTCGGCGGGGCCGCGCCCGCTGGTCCCGGGTGCGGGTTCGGGGCTCGCCGTGCGCTGGGCGCGGGCGGCGGCGTTGGGCGCGGGCGCGGGCGGCGGGGTACGGTTAAGACTATACTTTCAGGGATCATTTCTGTAGTTGGTCACTAGAGGAGAGTGATCTTCCCTGATCGGCGTCACAAGCCACGAGGAGGAGCGAGGTGTTCTCTCCTGAGCGCGAAGCGGGCGGGCGGTGCTGCCTGCGCAGGGGCCGCCCGCCATTGATGACCGTTCCCGGCCCTCGCAGTGGGGCTCGGGAGGGAGAGAGCACGGGCTGAGTGGTTTGTGGCCCTTTTTTTATTGTGGTTAAAGAAAGAATTGGAGGCAGCGGAGAGGGATGGGTGGATGGATCCTTATCCCGGATCATTTCCTCCTCCCGTATACACCTTGCAGCCAGGCTCTTGCTGCAGCAACCCGCAGTGGGTGATCCCCAGGGATGGCGCAGCAGCCACACGGATTTAGGCTTTGTGAGGGTATTCAGACCAACGGGATTCTCGACCCATCTCTTAGTGCAGGGCAAGGGGACTTTGTTTTTCAGAGAGTGACACGGAACTAAGGGGAACCTGTTCCGAATTTGCCTTTCTTCAGTTTTGGAAGCCCGTGTCAGTCAGGCTACAACTTCTGATGGGGTTTAGGGAGAAACTGCTCCGTGTTGTGCTGTTTATCCCGTGCAGTCGGCCCGTGATGCTCAGGCTGAGCCCGGAGCTGATTAAACAACCCTGTGGGTTTGTTCTTTCTGGTACACGAATGCCGCCCTGAAAGCATCGGGAGAGGCCGGGAGCCAGCTCAGCCCGCGGCGGCGGCCGTGCCGCGCTGCTGGTGTTGGTACCGGGGCTCTTCTCCTCGCTTGGCCCGGGGCAGCGGCGGCACGGGCGGTGGCGGTCACTTGTGTCGTGTCGCGACATCTGCGACAGCAGCGTCACTTGTGGCGGGGACGGGGGAGAGCGGGGGCGGGGCCGCGCCGCCGCCAGGCTTGAGGAACGCGTCTGATTGGCCAGCGGGGCCAGAACATGCAGATTAGTTGGGTTTGTCCCCACCGGCGCCACGCGCGGCCGTTCCGCGGGGCGCGGGCGCTCCCGCGGGGCTCGGGGCGCGCTCCCGCGGCCGCGGCGGCTCGGCGGGGTCACACCCGCAGCTCCCGGGTGCGGGTTCGTTGCTCGCCGTGCGCTGGGCGCGGGCGGCGGCGTTGGGCGCGGGCGCGGGCGGTGGAGCAGGGTTAAGACTATACTTTCAGGGATCATTTCTGTAGTTGGTCACTAGAGGAGAGTGATCTTCCCTGATCGGCGTCACAAGCCACGAGGAGGAGCGAGGTGTTCTCTCCTGAGCGCGAAGCGGGCGGGCGGTGCTGCCTGCGCAGGGGCCGCCCGCCATTGATGACCGTTCCCGGCCCTTCTAGTGGGGCTCGGGAGGGAGAGAGCACGGGCTGAGTGGTTTGTGACCCTTTTTTTATTGTAGTCTAAAAACAGAACTTGGAAACAAAGTGATTCGGAGGTGGCTGCTGCATCCTGAATCCTGACCCCACTGCCACAATCGCGTGTCGTGCAAATCCCTCCAGAGATGGGCGACTGAGCCCTGGAGAAGCTGTGCCAGTGCTTGAGAACCTTGCAGTGAATTAATTCTCGCCAATATCAAACCGAAACTTCCCCTGGTGTGACCTGAGGCTGTTTCCTCTCCTCGTGTCACTTGTTCCCTGGAGGAGAGACAGATCCCAGCTGCCTACATCCTCCTTTCAGGCAGCGGCAGGGAGGGTGAGAGTCCCCCTGAGACTCCTTTTCTCCAAACTGAGCCCCCCCAACTCTCTGAACTGCTGCTCCTCAGATCCGTGACCCTTCCCGGCGTCTGTCTGCTTGTCTGGACACACTCCAGCCCTTTCATGTCCTTCTGCTTGTGCTGAGGCCACAAGTGGACGCAGGATTCCAGGTGCGGCCTCAGCAGTGCCGAGTACAGAGGACCCTCACTGCCCCGGTCCCGCTGGTCACACTATTGCCGATACAAGCCACGTTCCGGTGGCCTTGTTGGCCATATGGGCACTCTGGCCGCTCTTGTGCGCCCACCCTCGAGCGGCATCCGCGGCTCCTTTTCCTCCGTGCGGCTTTCCAGCGCCTCTTCCCCAAATCCTGCAGCGCTGCAGGTTTTATCGTGACCAGAGCGCCTCTTCCCCAAATCCTGCAGCGCTGCAGGGCTTTGTCGTGACCAGAGCGCCTCTTCCCCAAATCCTGCAGCGCTGCAGGTTTTGTCGTGACCAGAGCGCCTCTTCCCCAAATCCTGCAGCGCTGCAGGTTTTGTCGTGACCAGAGCGTCTCTTCCCCAAATCCTGCAGCGCTGCAGGTTCTGTCGTGACCAGAGCGCCTCTTCCCCAAATCCTGCAGCGCTGCAGGGTTTTGTCGTGACCAGAGCGCCTCTTCCCCAAATCCTGCAGCGCTGCAGGGTTTTGTCGTGACCAAGCGCCTCTTCCCCAAATCCTGTAGCGCTGCAGGGTTTTGTCGTGACCAGAGCGCCTCTTCCCCAAATCCTGCAGCGCTGCAGGTTTTGTCGTGACCAGAGCGCCTCTTCCCCAAATCCTGCAGCGCTGCGGGGTTTTGTCGTGACCAGAGCGCCTCTTCCCCAAATCCTGCAGCGCTGCAGGGTTTTGTCGTGACCAGAGCGCCTCTTCCCCAAATCCTGCAGCGCTGCAGGGTTTTGTCGTGACCAAGCGCCCGCCCGTGAGGGACAGGGCACAGCCCTGTGGCGATTCCTCCCCGGGAAGGCGGGGCTGGGCGGGCTCGCCTCTGATTGGCCAGCGGGGCCAGAACATGCAGATGAGTTCGGTTTGTCCCCACCGGCGCCACGCGCGGCCGTTCCACGGGGCGCGGGCGCTCCCGCGGGGCTCGGGGCGCGCTCCCGCGGCCGCGGCGGCTCGGCGGGGTCGCGCCCGCTGGTCCCGGGTGGGGGTTCGGGGCTCGCCGTGCGCTGGGCGCGGGCGGCGGCGTTGGGCGCGGGCGCGGGCGGCGGGGTAGGGTTAAGACTATACTTTCAGGGATCATTTCTGTAGTTGGTCACTAGAGGAGAGTGATCTTCCCTGATCGGCGTCACAAGCCACGAGGAGGAGCGAGGTGTTCTCTCCTGAGCGCGAAGCGGGCGGGCGGTGCTGCCTGCGCAGGGGCCGCCCGCCATTGATGACCGTTCCCGGCCCCCGCGGCGGGGCTCGGGAGGGAGAGAGCACGGACTGAGTGGTTTGTGGCCCTTTTTTTATTGTGGTTCAAAAATAGAATTTACTCCCCGCGTGGTTGTTATGAGACCCGTCAGTCTCTGATTTGCTTAAAGTAAGCAAATGTTGGGAATCTCGAAAGGTTCTGACTAGAAAGGGACCTCAGACATCACAGGGTTAGTCTCTTAAGTAAATGGCCCATGCAGGGATCGAACTCCTGACCTTGGCACTACCAGCACCATGCTCTGAGCAATTAATAAAGAATAATTGACTTAATTTATTAATGCGTATCTATATGTTTTGTTATATTATGGTATGGCTATTATATTATATTATATTATATTATATTATATTATATTATATTATATTATATTATATTATATTATATTATATTATATTATATTATATTATATTATATTATATTATATTATATTATATTATATTGTAATTTATTATATTGTATTGTATTATATTGTATTTTATTATATTGTATTTTATTATATTGTATTATATTGTATTATATTACATTATATTACATTACATATCTATTATTTATATATTCACAAATTATACTATTATTATTTACTTATTTATTAATAACTAATAATAACGATAATAAGAATAATCGCAATCATAATACTAGTCATACCCATAATCATAACATAACATAATTAATTAATAGCTAATTAATAAAGAATAATTCACTTACTTATTAATTCTGTCCTCTGTTACATATGCTCATCCATCTCTACTTATATCTGCTTATATCGTATCATCCTTATATCTACTTTTATCATTTGTACTTATACAGATGATAAATATATATAGATAGCCACATATATATTTCCATTTATATTTCCATGTATATATATTTCCATAGTTAACATATCCATCTCTCCAATATAAGCAGTACATATAAATTCCTTATTTATATGGAATTTAAATCTTGCTTTTCCTTGCAGGAATTTTTGTTGATGCTGTGAATTCCATGGGCCAGACCTGTCTGTTCGCTGCTGCGCTGCTGGGGCTGGGTAAAATAGTGGATGCGCTGCTGGAATATGGCTCGGATGCCAATCAGTTAAGTATCAAACTTTTTTTAAAATTAAAATTAACCTTCGTGTGGGTTAATATTGTGTTATGGTGTCGGTCATTGTGAATATTGTGTTAGTCCTTGTGCAACACAATATCCACTGGGCGTAAATGAAGAAGTGCTTAAGATGCACGTTGGTATTTTAGCCAAAGCTCCTCAGAGGTAAATATAAAATAATTTTTTTTTAATTTTCTTTTTTATTTATACCAATAATTATTTTTAAATTTTATTTTATTTATAGAAATAATTATTTTCTGACTTTTTAAAACTCAGTCTGCCTTTTTTTTTTTTTTTTTTTTGTTTAATTCTGTTATTTGTGGGCACACAAACATTTCAACAACTCCGTTTCCCCGCTGCTGAACGATTTTTGCTGTTCCCCAGTCGCTGCTACGACGGGAGCACCCCGGTGCACGCAGCTGCTTTTTCGGGGAGCCAGGGCATCCTCAGCAAGCTGCTGGATGGAGGGGGAGAGCTGAGAGTCCACGACAGAGAGGGGAGAACCCCCCAGGTGTGGGCCTTGTCAGCCAGGAAGGAAAGCAGCGCTCAGGTATTGCTGCGGAAGCTCGTTCTTGACTGCAACGCTGATTTTTATATATATAATATATAATATATAATATATAATATATAATATATAATATATAATATATAATATATAATATATAATATATAATATATAATATATAATATGTAATATGTAATATGTAATATATAATATGTAATGTATGATATATAAAATGTAATCTATAATCTATAACCTATAATATATAATATATACATATATACATATATACATATATACATATATACATATATACATATATACATATATACATATATACATATATACATATATACATATATACATATATACATATATAATATATACATATAATATAATATATACTTATAATATAATATGTAATATATATATATATAAAACTCCTCTTCCCTTTGCTCACAACACTCTTAAAAAGGAAGGTGAAATTGTAATTCTCTGGGGGTGAAGTTCCCTGTGTTGTCGCCTGTTTGAAGTCAGCTTTTCTGCCATTTTCATGTAATTGATTTTCTCCAAATGCCCATTTTGGTATTGCAGGTTAGCAGTTCTTTTACTGCTAGTGCAGACTGATAAATCTGAAATGGTTTTTGTTTTTGTCTGAAGCTCTGTGTTTATTGTTTCCTGCTGCCCAGATGCTGGAGTTCATGCAGCAGTGCTCGCTGCACATGCAGGCTGCCCTCTGGAACCTGCCCTCGGACCTGCTCAGGAGAGTCGGCTCCTCAAAGGCCCTGCTCTGCAGCCCCTCGAGGCTCGGTGCCCTTGTCCAAGGGTAACAAGAGATTTTACTCCCGTTTTCTGTCATTTTAAAATTAAAATATTCATAATTATATGTTATAATTATAATTTTAATGTAATTTTTATCTAATCATAATAATTTATATAATAATATATAGTTTTTATGATAGTATATATTTATATTATGTAAAGTATATTCTATATATTTATATATTACATATAAATATATATTTATATATTATTGTATTATATATAATATATATCTACTATATAGATATATAGTATATATATAGATATATAGATATAGATATATAGATATATAGTATATATAGTATTGTATTTGAATACTATATACTGTATATTATTATACATAATAATATATAAAAATATATATTAACATATAGGATTATTATATTAATACTATATATATATAGTATAATATATGTATATAGTATAATATAAAATAATATATATATTATTTATATACTATATATATTATATTGTATATATAGAGTATTGTATTATATATATAATTATATACATTATATCATATATATTTATTACTATATATTTATATTACATAATTTTTATTAGCTGTACAATAATTTGGAATTTTAACATCCACATTATATGTGTGGGTCCAATCAAATGCAGGGTTCTGGCAGAAATTCTGCTTTTTTTTTTCCCCTTCTCTCTCTGTTTCCAAGCCTTGGAGTAAATAAATTGGTTTTATTCCTTTTGCTTTTGGTATTTAGAAATGCTGAGAGTCCTCTGGGTAAACTGAAAAAACTGCAAGGACAACCCAGTGTGGCCAAGAACATTTACAGCTTTGGCTTTGGGAAGGTAAGAAGCTGTGGGGAGGGATTTTCTATTAGAACATTTTTCCCAGAATCTCCTGTTCCTCACAAATTATCTGTGCTATTTTTACCTTTTAGTGCATTCTTATTTTTAACTTTTAAACTTTTAGTGCATTCTTAACTTTTAAACTTTTAGTGCCTTCTTATTTTTAACTTTTTCACTTTTAGTGAATTTTTATTTTTAACTTTTTAATTTTTAGTGCACTCTTATTTTTAACTTCTAAACTTTTAGTGCATTCTTAATTTTAACTTTTAGTGAATTCTTATTTTCAACTCTCTAACTTTTAGTGCATTCCTGTTTTTAACTCTTTAGCTTTTAGTGAATTCTTATTTTTAACTTTTAGTGAATTCTTATTTTTAGCTCTTTAACTTTTAGTGCATTCTTAACTTTTAAACTTCTGGTGCATTTTTATTTTTAACTTTTAAACTTCTAGTGCATCCTTATTTTTAACTTTTTAACTTTTAGTGCATTCGTGTTTTTAACTTTTTAACCTTTAGTGCATCCTTATTTTTAACTTTTTAACCTTTAGTGCATCCTTATTTTTAACTTTTTAACCTTTAGTGCATTCTTATTTCTGCTGAAAAAATGTGGGGAAAAACCCATGAAGAGCACAAATATTTGGGCTGGAACAGCAGAAATTCCTATTCAATGTCACCTGTGGCAGCTTCTAGGGACTGGTTCTGCTTTCCCCGTTCCACCCTCAGTGGGAAATTCAGATTTTGGTGCCGATTTTTCCCATTTCCTGGTGATGTTTGGGTGCTGCTGCACTCGGGTTGTTGATGAGCTGCTGGATTTTGGGAATTGTTGCATTTTCCTCTTTCAGTTCCATCTGGCAAGCAGTGGCCACCTGGGCTACCTGGCCTCCCTCCCAATTATTGGGGACAAAGATGTGGTACAGGCTGATGATGAACCTGCATTTTCCTACCACCTGGGGCCCTACATGATCATGACCAAGTAAGTGGAATTAAAGAGGTTTTTAGCCCCAATTTGTGTCTGTTGCGACACGATCATGACCAAGTAAATGGAATTAAAGAGGTTTTTTTAGCCCCTCTTTGTGTCTGTTGCAAATTGTTGTAGCAGTGCTTTGTTTTGGGGGATTTTCCACGTTTTTTCTGTATTTCTGCCCTGTTTAATTAACCCAATTATGGCTAATCACTGATGGCAGTGGTGGGAAATACATTTAGGGTTGCACAGATTGTTTTGTTCAACATTTAATCCTTGTAAATCTTTGTCCAGGATATCCTCTGGATATCCAGGTGTGCAGCCCACTTGCTGGAACCTGTGGTGAAATGAGAGTTGCAAGGACAGGCTGAGCTTTTATTTAAAATCTTTGGTATAATACCAAAGATTTTAAATAAAATATTGTAATTACAAATATTGTAATGTGTTAATTATAGTAAATATATTAAATATATTAAATATATTTAATATTGTCATATTATATATTAAATAAAATACTGTTATTACAAGTATTGTAATCTATTAATTATTGTAAATATATTAAATATTGCAATATATAATATATATTAAATAAAATATTGTAATTACAAATTTTGTAATATATTAATTATTGTAAATCTAGTCAATATGTTAAATATTGTAATATATATTAAATAAAATATTTTAATTATGAATATTGTACTATATTAATTATTGTAACTATATTAACTATATTAAATATTGTAATATATTATTATATATACAAATTAAAATATTGTAATTACAAACATTGTAATTAAATAAATAATTTAAACATTAATATTGATATAAATATATAGATAAAACAAATATATATATAATAAAATAAATAATATCACAATTATTTTAATTTAAACATTGTAATTACAAATTGCAATAAATTTGTAATTATTGCTAATGATTAGGAAAATATGGTATTGTCGAATTACTGTGTGTTAAGCAAGTGGTTGTCTCTCAGAGGCAGCCAGAGAATTGACAAATTGGTGATTTAACCTCCCCAAAACTCTTGATCTGTGTCACTGATGGCCTTTGCTGAAGGGAATTCCTTGTGGGAGGGGTGGGATTTTGGGCAGTGAACCTTCCCTGCTCCACCAGCCTTTAGCAGGACTGAGTTCATTCTCAGTTTAAAAGAGCAAAATTCAAATTCCTGACGGTGGGAGGCAGCACCAGAGCACCACAAAAAATTCTTGGTAAGTGTTTTCTTGGCAAGGATCACAAAGTTCTTGGTAAATAAATACATAACTGGGGAAAAAATAAAATAATAAAATAAATAAATTTTTAAAAATTGTTTTTTTTCTTTGCAGCTTGGTGTGGGGAGGCAGCAGGGTGACGGTGAAGGAGCTGAGCTTCCAGCCCCAGCAGAGCAGCTGGAAGCTGCGCCTGGCGGATCTCCTCCTGGCAGAGCAGGAGCACAGCAGGTGGGGCAGGAGCTCCCCAGAGATGCAGGAGTGGGATTTACCTCAGGGGAGTGGGATTGACCTCAGGGGAGTGGGATTTACCTCGGGGGAGTGGGATTTACCTCGGGGGAGTGGGATGGATCCCAAGGGAATGGGATTTATCTCAGGGGAATGGGATTTACCTATCTCAGGGGAATGGGATTTACCTCGGGGGAGTGGGATTTACCTCAGGGGAGTGGGATTTACCTCAGGGGAGTGGGATTTACCTCGGGGGAGTGGGATTTACCTCGGGGGAGTGGGATTTACCTCAGGGGAATGGGATTTATCTATCTCAGGGGAATGGGATTTACCTCAGGGGAGTGAGATTTACCTCGGGGGAATGGGATGGATCCCAAGGGAATGGGATTTATCTCAGGGGAATGGGATTTACCTCAGGGGAATGGGATTTACCTCGGGGGAATGGCATTTACCTCAGGGGAATGGGATGGATCCCAAGGGAATGGGATTTACCTCAGGGGAATGGGATTTACCTCAGGGGAATGGGATTTATCTATCTCAGGGGAATGGGTTTTTCCTCAGGGGAATGGGTTTTTCCTCAGGGGAATGGGATTTACCTCAGGGGAGTGGGATTTACCTCAGGGGAATGGGATTTACCTCAGGGGAATGGGATTTACCTCAGGGGAGTGGGATTTACCTCAGGGGATGGGATGGATCCCAAGGGAATGGGATTTATCACAGGGGAATGGGATTCACCTCAGGGCAGTAGGATTTACCTCAGGGGAAAGGGATTTACCTCAGGGGAATGGGATGGATCCCAAGGGAATGGGATTTATGCCAGGGGAATGGGATTTATCTATCTCAGGGGAATGGGTTTTTCCTCAGGGGAATGGGATTTACCTCAGGGGAATGGGATTTATCTCAGGGCAGTGGGATTTACCTCAGGGGAATGGAATTTATCTATCTCAGGGAATGGGATTTACCTCAGGGGAATGGGATGGATCTCGGGGGAATGGTTTTTCCTCGGGGGAATGGGATTTATCTATCCCAGGGGAATGGGATTTATCTATCTCAGGGGAACGGGATTTATCTCAGCGTTCAGGAACACACAGAATCCCAGGATATGACTCTGTGTAGATGCTTTTATTGAAGAGCTCTGAGAATCAGGGGTGCAGACCCAAATCTGACTCCCAACATGGCTTTCGAGCTGAACATATTTTATATTTTACCGTTATAGAACTTACATATAAATTGTTAAACTTATATTGTCCTATTGTATACATTGACCTTATTCAAGCATGAGTTTATCGTGATCTTTGGCTGCAGGGCTGGGAGGAAAAGACTTTTTATGATCTTGGGGTCGTCTTGACCACAGAATCCCAAGTGGGAATGGAATTTACCACTCAGGAGTTTTAGCCTGGGGTTGAATTTCTTCCCTAGAGCAGTAATACAGATTTTCTTCCCACTCTTGATCTTTTAAAATGGAGTCTTTCAGTTAAAAATATACATTTACACTGAAATATATTCCAGTGAAAACCCAACGTTCATGTCATATTGATAAAAATGCTGAGCAGGGCAGGAATTTTCTTCTTCTCAGCCCAGAATTGCCTTGAAAATTTGATTTTTCCTCTCCCTTTGCAGCAAGCTCCGCCACCCTCACTTGCTGCAGCTGATGTCTGTTTGTCTGTCCTGTGACCTGGAGAAAACTCGCTTGGTCTATGAGAGGGTTCACTTTGGCTCTCTCTACAGCATCCTCCATGAAAGGGTAACTGCAATGCTTCAGTTTTAAATAATAATTAATAAGAAGTTTAGTGACTAACATCTTACCTCAAGAAGACAAAATCCTTAGTCTGGATTTGAGTTTCTGGCTATTTTTCTTATTTTTTAAAATAAATTTTGAGAACAAGAAACCAAATTTCCTTTTTTTCCTCCAATAAATTTGATGTTTGCTGCCTTGTCCACCAAAGAATAACCCTAAGAAATAACAATAACTTTCTATCACCTCAAGTTTAGAGGCCTGCCGTGTACATTGGGTGCTTTTGGGGTTGTTTTGTTAAATATATTTAATTATATTATTACAATATAATTATATATATATTATACAATAGATATGATATAATTATATATTATATAACATGTATTATATAATATACATTATATAATATATATTATATAGTTTTATTAATATAATATACAAAATTAAATATTATATAATAATATTTAGACTATAGAAATATTATAAATATTACATATTTATAATTATATAACTTACATATTAATTTTCAAAATTATATTGTTCTATTGTATACATTGACCTTATTCAATATAATATATTATTGTATTCCATTCTATTCTATTATTATACTGTATATTATGATTCTATAAAATAATATTATATATAATATAATAGATAATATGTTTTATTATATTAATGATATAATGTTATATTAATAATACCCTATACTATAATCTACTATTATTTTATATTTATAATAAAATAATTATATATTTTAATATCTAGTATTTCAGTATATAATATATTATATATTATATATTACATATTATTATATATCTAGTTTATATATAATATATATAGTGTATACTATATATGTACTATTTTATATATAGTATATTATATATGTACATAGTATATAATATATAATATATAATATATAATATATATAACATATACACTAAATAAAATATATATAATATATAAGTATATATATAGTATATACTATATATACTTTATATAATAAGTATCATGTATATATAATATAGTATATATATAGTATATATACTATATATCACTAATATAATATAATATAATATAATATAATATAATATAATATAATTAATTTAATTAATATAATATAATAATATCCCTCTCCCCAGCGTGCAGAATTCCCGGTGCTGCAGACAGAGACCATCGTGCACGTGCTGCTGCAGATCCTCGAGGCTCTGCGCTTCCTGCACTCCCGGGGCTTCATCCACCGCTCCCTCTCCTCCTTTGCCATCCAGATTGTGTCCTCAGGGGAGGGCAAGCTCTGCAACCTGGAGTACATGATCCAGAGGTGAGAACCTGCCCAGGGCTGCTCTCAAACGGGGCTGGAACATCCAGCACCTCTCCTTAGACTGGTCCTAATTCAGTTACTCGGTTTGGCATTGAGAACAAAAAATCATAAAGAGGGTAGAGAGGATTTCTTTTCATCTCAGTGAAGTATTACTGAAATTATCCCCTAGACACATTGGAAAATAAAATTATTTTTGTCAGGCTTCCTGTGTGTTATCCATGGTTGTTTGGAAAGCATCTGTTGTGAAAAGTTCAGCATTTTTTTTAGTTGTTTTTGTTCTAAAGTCATTCAAGGAGGTGTTCCTTTCCCCAGGCCTTTAGTGCACATTTCTTTTTGCAGACATGCCCTGAACCTTTTATGCATTAAACTAAAAGCTGTAGCACGCTCAGGTGTTTAATTCCTAAATATGAACCTTGTCACTGAGTGTGCTGCATGTCCTGATTTACAGTTTTTGTGCTGTATGTCCCGATTTACAATTTTTGTGCTGTATGTCCATATTTACATTTTTTGTGCTGTTTGTCCTGCTGTACAGTTTTTTTCCCTTTTTGCAGCAAGGACAGTGGAGTGCACAGTGACCTGACCCGAATTCCTGTCCCAGCCCAGCTGTTCCGCTGGAGCTCCCCTGAAATAATCCTGGGCAAACCTGGGACAGTCAAATCTGATGTTTACAGCTTCTGTGCAGTGCTGCAGGAGGCCCTGACAGGTGAGTGCACAGATTTGGGCTGGGATGGGTTAACTGAAAACATAAACCAGGCAACAAACCCCAAATATTAATGACAATAACAAAGATTATTGGGAACTCCTCTAAAATGTGATCAGAAAACATAAAATTGTGTGGCTAAGGGATGAAATTAATGGTGGGTATTGGAGAAATACATTTGGAAATAAATTTGTTTTCTGCTGTTTATTTTTCTTCTTCCTACCAGCACAGCAAAACATTCAATTAAGTCTTTTCAGTGTTCAAAACAAGCTTGTGCAGCTTTTATGTTTTTGATCTCTGTGATAAGTTAGAGATAAGTTAATGTAACTCTGTTTTTGTCATGTATTGTAGCTGTTATTACAGATAATGTCTGTTCTGCATTCACTTTGACTATTCTGACAGTGAAATGGGATAAACAATTATCCTAAAAATTAATCCCAATGAAGAATCCAGAGCAGGGTTGTTTGCAGTGTCACTCTCCTCTAGATATTTCTGTCAGCTCCCTTGAAAGCATCCATTGTTGGAAACAGGGAGGAGATGCCAGTGCTTGTTTTTACTTGTAAAACAGGGAATGGACAGGGAATAATGTGATTTTAAATTTTTTTTATTTTATAACATTTTATTTTATCACATTTTAAAAATTTTTATTACATCATGGAACGATGTAATTTTTTTTTTTTTTTAATTAACATTAATGTGCAGCTGGGGACATAAAATCTGTACTTGTGTCTTGCAGAGAGCCTTCCCTGGAAAGGTGTGGAAGACTCAGCTGTTAAGCAGCTCATCCTTTCAGGGGAGCAGCTGGAAGCAGATGTCAGGCTCCCCCTGCTCTATTATGATGTTGTCAAGTCAGGGCTGGAGCCCAAACCGAGGAACCGCTCCATGAAGCTTCAGGATATTCAATATATCCTGAAAAACGACCTGAAGGTGATTTCCAGCATTCCAATTTTGATGGATATGCTGTTTAAATCTAGAGGAAGTGATCCAGCACTCAGTGTTCTGCTCAGGGAGCTGAACCCCGTCAGAAGAGCAGGCAGGGACACAGAACTGACAAATTGTATTTTATTCTTTTTTGTTTTGTTTTCTTTTTCAGGACTTGGTTAAATCTGAAAGTGGAATGCCCAAAGCACAGAGATCTGCTGTTCTTGCAGATGTGAACATCTGCTGGGCATCAGCTTTTAGATTCCAGAAGAGAACAGTGGAATTCCAGGAAGAAGAGATAAGCAAGGCTGGTGAGTTTCTTGGAGCAAGATGTCCTTCCTGTGTTCCTCAGGCCACAACAGTCTGTCAGAAATCATTAAAATAGTAAAATCATAAAATCACTCACAGATTTGGTGATGTAGGTTGAAGATAGGAAGCAGTTGGCTTTGGATTTTAGCTGCCACTTCATTGTTAATGTAGACTCGAAATCTGTTTTGTTCAGGCCCAGTTTTCTTTCAGCAGAGGTGTCAAATGCTGCTCATGGAATTTCTAAATTTCCAAAATTCACTCCTCAACGTGCAAAAGCAGCACAGGTGTTGGGTTGCTGGAGTTTGTGGGTTCTAAGATGGGTAACTTTTTGGGGGTTCTTTTGGTAGGGGAGACTCTTTTGGAGTAGTTTTGTGTTAGGAATGAGAGATGTATTGGATTTTTTTGGTCTTTAGCTTTTGTTTATTGTTATCTTATCAAAACTTTAGTATACTGTCTGTCCTAGACTCTGCATGTATGAAAAACAGTACAAAAATGGCTAACAACTTTGTGTTGTAAGGTCTTTTTAAGTCTAATCAAAAACTAAAGTACCTAATTAAGAAGTGACACTTAAATTATTTTCCTTTCTAACCCAATAACTGACCCCTTTGAATTCTTAACATCCATGTCATTGTTAAACAAATGATTTAATGTTTCAAATGGAATTTTTCAGGTGGCTTTTCTGCCCCCCAGGACTCAGTTTTGCCCGGGGAGAGCAGTGCTGTGGTGGTGCAGGAGGCAGCAGCCAGTGCAGAGCCCCCTGTGCAGGACAGAAGTCTGGAAGCCTCCTCTGAACTCCGGACAGGAGCTTCTCCCTCCAGTGAGAGCGAAGTGGATGGGAGCCTGTGCAGCTTTGAAATGAATGAAATCCTGGCCAGTTACCCAGAAGGTCTCCAGGACTTCCTGGAAGGAGGACCTGGCTCAGGCCAGGCTCTGAAGGATGCAGAAAAGCAGCAAAAGGAAGATCAGAGCCCGTGGGAGGGTGAGGAGGACGGGGAATCCTCAGGGTCCAGCACGGGGTTCACTGGAGAGGAGGAGGAGGAGGAGGAGGAAGAAGAGGAGGAGGAGGAAGAAGAGGAGGGGGTGAGAGAAGGCTCTGGGTTGTCCCAGATGAGAGGAGATGCTGGCAGGAGGCTGAGCAGCTCCTCCCAGAGCGAGCAGCACATCAGCAAATGCGTCCTGAACCTGAAGATCATGCAGAGCATGCTGCAGCAGGCAGGGGAGTCCCTGAGCAGGACCGAGGAGAAGCTGGACAGGCTGAAGGCCATGGCAAAGCAGAAGAGGCTGCTCCAGGAAGTCAGGATGAATCTGCTTCCTAAGGAAAGCTCTCAGGGAAGGCACTGGGAAGGGTCTGATGCTCCTTCCCAAAACACCAAGAAGGCTTTTTCTGGAGGTGATGATTTTTTACACCAGGCTGTGGCTCCACCATCCAGGGACTACATTCCACCTCCAATAACGTGTCAGGCACCAGACAGAGACAATTTCCAGGCTGCTCCCAACAAAAGAGAGGCAATTCAGAATGAGAAGTGGAGGAGAGAAATTGCAACCACCCATCGTGATCCGGGCTGCAGCGTGGGCCAAGGGCTGGATGATGAAGTGAGCCTAAACCAGGAGGTAAAGTGTTGAGCAGGTTATCATTTCTGTGTTCCTTAGCAGGCAAAGAGATGCAGGGATGGGTGGTGTCCAAGAGGAGGGATGAATCTGTCCTTTAAAATGTGCATTATATACAGGAATGAAGACAGCTCAGCAGTGCAATTGAATTATTTCCTCTTTCTCTCCAGTCCTGCCAGGACAATACTGATCCAGTGGCTCAGGGTGGGGTTAAAATCCAAATCCTGCACTGAAATGGAGATGGGAATCTCAGGGAAAAGGCCAGTGGATAAATGCTTCTGTTTGTGTTGAGGCCTGAGCTGTTCTTGGGAAGGGCTTCTGGATTACTTTAATTATTAAATACGTGGACCAAAGAGAAAGAGAGAAATTTGATTACATCTCTCCTGTGAGGGTAACTTGAGTCATTCAGGTCCACTCATCCCCCTGGCAGCTGCATGCAAACTAACAAAACCTGCTATAAATCCAGGGCAGAGTTTTTGCTGGAGTTGTCATCCTTTTTCCTGCGCAGAGCAGCTCAAATAAAACTCAGGGAATAAAGTTTGTGCTGTCCTGTGCTCAGGCAGCAATTAGCAGGGTGCCCAGGGTGTGCTGAATCACGGCTTGAATTCCTTTCAGCATCTCCTCCCACACGTGTCTGCAAGATGCCAGAAGGAGTTGAACTTGCAGTGTCAGAGAGGAGCTGATTCACACCCTGCAGCAAGGAGGGAAGAGGAGAAGTGGTGAGTTTTGATCTTATTCATAGAAGAGTTAATTCTGACAGGTTCATCTGGAGCAGAGACGCTGTCAGAGGAGGCACATCAGGATCAAGGCTGGCATTAAATGTTCCTCAGTAAGGCAAAAGCCATCTGTGCAGAGAGGAGCCTGCTGTGAGTCATTGTCAGCTGCAGAGCTGCTGTGACAGGGCACTTTGTGTTAAGGAGTGCTGTTAAAAATGATTTCACATGCCTCTGGGATGGAGGTCAGTGGTCCAAAACTCTCCAAAAGGAGAGCAATCAGGGAAGGTATGAATAAAGGTTCTCCTCTCTGGGCACAGCCTCCATCAGTTCCCAGCAGAAATACTTTTTAATGTCATCTCTTTGTGTTTTTAAGCAGGAATGGAAAGCACATATTGAAATTACCTGGCAAAACTTGTGCAGATTCGTGTTGGAAAAGAGGGAGACAGACACTTCTTTCAGTGTTTGGTCAAATCAAAAAAACTGCTGCAGTTTTAAAATTAATCCATGATCCATTTGGATCAGAAAGACCTGTTGGTGAAGGTTAGAACAGAAATATTTAATGGTCAGTGAAGGTCAGGGAGTGAACTCTGGTGGGAGAATCATTGTCCAGGTCTGAAATTGTGATCACCTCAATAAAACAATGCCTACATCACCCGTGGTGTGTTTTTGGAGCTGCAGCATCTGAAGGCAGCTGACAGCTCTGAGATGCACAGTTGAATGTACATCTTGTCTGGTTAATCCAGAATAGACCTAAATAACAATAATAAAAATAAATAATTTAAGTAATTCAATAATAAAATAATAAATAATAAAAAAATCTGTGCTCTCCAAGCTCCTGGCAGCTCAATCTGCTGGTTCTGCTGGGTTGTTAAAAGGCTGAGAGCACACGTGCTCTAATTAATGTTAAAACAACTTGGAGCCTTTTCCTGGCTGGGGAATACTTGACACAATATGCTCGGGCTCTAAAATAGTTTGTGCATTTCATAATCATTTATTGCAGGTGCCATTCAAAACCAAGGGCTGAATTCTGCAGCAAAAAAAGCAGTGAGAAGAGGAGGGTGATGCAGTCAGGGTGGAGGAGTGAGTAAATCAGTGTTAAATCAGTGTTAAATCAGTGTTAAATCAGCATTAATATCAGAAATCTTGCTGCAGTGCATTGAACTCAGCACACAAGGAAAGGTCTCTGTGCCTTAATTGCTGAAGCTCTGTGAGGCTGTTCTTGGATGGAGCCCAAGTGAGTGGGATCCTGTGTCTTGCACATTCTGGGCATAAAATAATCCCAGGCACGTTGAGGTGGTTTGGTTGCTGGAGCTGAAGGGATTTTTTCCTGCTTTTGGGCAGGGTGTGGATCAGGAGTGGCAGGGGTGGCAGTGCCCAGTGGATGGCAGCACGGGCATGGATAATAGAGAACCAAACTAACAAAACCTGCTCCTGGAGAGACCTATCCATGACAATTTATGCAGGTTTTAAGCTTTATTTAAAACAAAAGGAAGTGTTCAGCTCTTTTCATGGTGCTGCCGGTTCTAACCTTAGCATTTCCAAGTCTGCAGGCACAGTGAAACACAGGGGATGCTTTGGAGGCCCAGATCCTGTGGCGTGAAGTGGTAATTTTGTTTAATTATGTTCTTTTTGCGTAGCTGAAGTCAAGCAAATGGCCAGAAGAGTGGCCTCAGGTCGGCTGGAGCTCAGCTGTCCCTACCCTGCCAGTGAATGCACGTCTGAAAGTGAAGCAGAAAGTGTCAGGGAACACCCCCAGCATGTCCCTGGCAGAGCCCCGAAAATCCAGGAGCAGCAGAGGTGTGGGTGGCAGCCAGGTGAGCCCTGGGAGCTGGGCAGTGAGGACAGAACTGACTCTGGGGAGAGTGACCTGGAGCCTGCGCTCAGGACTTCCACAGGTGAGGCTGAGAAATAAAATGCTCTGTTCTCTTTTTGTCTCCTTCCATTTCCAATCAGATTTCGGCTTCCATGATTTTTTTTTTAATTTATTTGGTTTTTTTTAAACAAGTATTGTCCATTTTATCTTCCAGAGCTTTGCCCTCAGAGCAGTCAGTCACTCCTTGATGGGTATAAATAGAGATAAGATGAGTATTAGGTGTTAATAGGTGGAGGGAATGAGCTTGGAGACCTTCATCATCACTGATTATTGTTATCAGCATGAGAAACCCAAAGCTTTCAGACCCTTGAGAGTGCTATCACACTTTTATTTCTCCCATCTCACCACACAGCTGCCTTTTCTGCAGCAGCTCAGTGGGTAAAGCTTTTGAAAAAGTTCTCTACAGAGGAACAGGGCAAGGTTCCCCTGCTTAGATTAATTAACGAGGTGAGCATTTAAATGTCATTATTTCTCCGTGTTCCTGGCAGACAATTAGTGTCACTGTCTGCTCTCATTGATATTCCAGCAGTGCCTCAGATCACTCACTTCACATCTCTATTTTTTATTTTTAGTTAATAATTTTGTTCCATTCTGACATCCTAGGGAGGAGCTGCCAGTCCCCAGCACCAGATGAGCAAGCAGAGTCTGGAATATCCATTCCTAAGAGTTCAGTCCTTCCTCAGCAAGCTGAGAATCTCTCTAGAGTATGTACAGAAATCCAGGGAATTTAGTGGCAGCTGCTTATCCGTGGAAAAGTTTAGCCTGGTGTTGCATCCTGAGCTGATCTGAGTAACAATTCCCCTCCTCCTTCCTCCTTTTTTTTTTTTTTTTTTTTTGTTATTTTGTTTTAAAACCACCAAGGTAATGCAAGGAGCAGGAAGTGGGTTGAAAGTCAGTGAACAATTAAATAGAATTTCAGAATTTCAGTGGTTTTTATTGGCTGAAATATGCATTTTTTTATTAAGAGAGGGTGGTATCATCTCAGGTGATGATGTCTTTCACAGGGACATTCAAGGGAATTGCATTGTTCCCTTAATTCACCTCCTGATGTGACTGAAGAATTCTTCACTCCTGATTATTTCCTTCCTCCTGCTCTTGAGGGAAGGTCAGAACCAGAGGTAAAAATAACATTTTTTGGACATAAGTTACACAACATGTGGTTTAATTGTGCTCCCATTTGATTTGAAGAGAGATCTGTAAAATGTGAGATTTTTTTTCCCCCCATTATTAATTCTTTACTTTCAAAATAAAGATTTAGGTAAGAGTAAGCAAATTAATGTTCATTAATTTCTGGAAGACACAAAACTTTCCTATTTTACTGCTAAATCCAGTCTGAGCTGTTTGCTGATGAGAAAAGTTTCTCCATTCCCATTATTGGGAACATCATCCTGGGAGGGTTGTCCTGCCCTTTGCAGCTGCTCTGTTAAAAATGGAATTAATTTCTCTTTTTCCCCTTTTCAGACCTCAGACGCTGAGGGCAAAGCAGAAGCTGTTTGTGCAGGATTTTTGCAGAAATTACCTGGAGATGCAGCATCAGGAATTCAGGCTCCAGGTAAATGTCCTTTTCCTTGAAGCACTTCTGAGTCAGGGACACGGAGATGTTGCGTTGGGATTTTTGCCAGCAGCTCTCCTGTCCGAAGGCTGGACCTTCATTCTTCAGGCTCAATTGATCTCTTATTCCTCTTATTCCCAAATTATTATTTTTTGGGAGAGTTCAGGACACATAGGATTTTGGTTTGGGCATTGCAGTGCCTGAAATAATTTCAGACTCAGTGTTCACGTACTTGCTGTGTTTCAGTTAAAAAGACAAACCAAAAAAACTTGTTTGAATACTTTTCATTTTTACCCTGGGGCGAAGTTTAATCTTTTTATGCAACTTGCTGTGGTGCTGGAAACTGAATTAGAGTTGTATTTACACATTAATATTCTCATTGCTGGGAGGATCTTGGGCTTAAAAACAGTGAGAGCTGACAGAGTGCGTGTGCAGAATAATGGAAGAATCATTGTTTCCTTATTCTGTTGTCTCTTTTAGCTCAAATTTGTAAATGTTGTGATATTCCCCAGTGCTTCAGTGCCTGTCTGGCAGCTGTGCCATGTTTATGAAAATGCATCTTTAAAACACATTTGTCTCTCGATAACAACAAAGGTCACAAGAACTCAGACAAAAAAAAAAGAAAAAAAATTAATAAAGTCACAATTTCCTGTTCAATGAGTTGTGTTGTTTTCTTTTGTGCTTGCAAAAGGCAGTAACAGGGAACATTTGTTATTTGTATTCAGGAGGAAAAATACTATCCTGCAGCACAACACCACAGAGCTGTGGCAGTAACAAGCTGGGAGTGAATCAGCTGAGCCAAATGCCTGGAGCCAGGTAGAAAAACTCATTTTCATTGTTCCTTCAGGCAGAAATTAGCTTTTAAAGTGTGCTCTCTTCATTAATTCTGCTTATATATCTAATATTCAAATAAGATGCCAGTGGTGTTCTTTAATGATTATCCACATAGCTCAGCTCCTTGCTAAGAAAATACAAAAAGGGATTTTCACAGGTCTCAAGGGGTTTTGTCATTTGCAGAGTTTGGTGGGTTTTTTTTTGCCTTAATGAGGGAGCTAAAACAGGAAAAAAAGAAAGAAAGAAAAAAAAAGCCATGTCCATATCACAATTCCTTTTCTACTGATAAACCACAGCCTGAAACAGAGCAAAGATAATTCAAATTAAAGCTTCAGTCATCTGCTTTAATTTTGGTTGAGGAGCTGAAGTGCCAGGACGATCCGATCCTGCCTTTCCCAATCCCCTGGGATCAGCCCAGTGCAGGAATGTTCACTGGATCTTGCCTGGGGGCAACATCAGCTTTGGCAGTCTCTGAAATCTTGGAGGTTTGGCTGGCTCCTCTGAAAAACAGGAGGGGTTTTTTTTGTCCTGTTAATTTTATATTTTTATATTTTTATTTTTATAATTTTATATTTATATTTTATGTTTTCCTGTCAATTTTTTGTCAGCATGGGGAGAAGTTGGCTGTGACTGTCAGGGCTCCTCCCCACCCAGGAGCTGAGTTCCCTGGGCCGAAGGGAGGCACCAGCAGTGGAAATCACTTGCCTTTAGGGTAAAAAAAGCATGGTTTTGGTTGCTCCCTTCACTTTTGGCAGCAGGACAGAGGGGATGTTGCTCTCTGAGCATCTGCCTAATCTTCTTTGACCTTGAGTGGGCTTGTCACAATCTGAAACAGGTCAAGGGATGATGGAGTGGTGTGTAGTCCTACCTAGGTTTTGATTTCTTGTATTTAATTTTATTAATTTCAACCTAATTTTATTAATTTCACTTAATTTTCTTAATTTCACTTTTTGCTCTGAAGCTGCAAATGTTAGTTGGAAGTTTTAATGAATCCTTAATCTGTTAAAAATGACATTTTTCTCCTAACAGTCTCCACTTTCTAAGGTTTTAAGCAAAACGTGTTTACGAGCTGCAGTCTGCCTCAGAGTGCTTAAACTTCCTGAGAGAAAGGAAACCAAATCCTTCTATTTCCATCATTTTCTGAGGGTGAACATGACCTTTCCTCCCTCATTTCAGTCTGGATGCTGCACGAGAAGCGATGCTGTGGGAGCCACAGGAAGAATGCCAAGAAAAAGATGTGTAAGAGCCACATTTTATAGCAAAAACTTCAGCAAATTGGTCATTAACTCCAAAATTTTGTGTTGGTGCAAGACAGGGAGATGGGACAGCCCAAGAGAAAACCCCCCAGAATATTGAGAGAGTATTTTCCTGTGAAAAGTTGTGAGATTGGTGTAAAAAATGAGTTGTCCTTAGCTAGAAATATTTTCATTTTCTGAAGTAATTAACTTGGTGTTCATCTGGGTGTGCTTCTTCCCATTAAAGTGTGAGGAATCCTCGTTTCTTCTCTCCATATGGCGCAGGGAAATAAAATCACTTTAAAGAGCAAATGGTTCGTGTGGAGCCAAATAAATTTTATTCCAGAAATAGTCCTGTGATTTTCAGGGGAAAAAAAAAAAATATTAGCAGAGTATGTTTGTAATTCAACTAATGAAGTTAATTTATATTTACAGCTAATGGAGATTTGCATCAAATTACTGATTTACAGGAGGTGTCTGTTCTTTCCATGGCCTCTGAGGATGATGGAATCCAGGGTGTATCTCCCCAAAATTTAATCAACTTGGATTTCATTTTTTTCACTTGTGTCAGTGCCTTCAGCAGTCTCAGTTTATCAGAATCATACTTTTAAATGCTCCCAAGGCCTACATTTAGTCTTAATTAATGGCTCATTAATTTTTCTTAACCCTTGAGGTTTTTCCTTGGCTTTGGGGAATTTTTTCTACCTTTTGGTTCACATTTGGAGTTCCTGCCCTTTCTGGAAGCACCTTCCTGAGCTGGTTTTATAGGAGGATGATTTAAAAAATCCTGGAAAGGAAAAGGAAGCAAATAATTAACCTTTTCTGCCTCTGCAATCTTCCTGAGGATGGTGATTTTGGGCCTCCCAGGATTCCTGTGGGAAGTTTCAAAGGGAACATCTCCCTCCATTCCAGTCAGCTAGATAAGACTGCACAAAATTAAAATTTCAAGAGCCCCGATTCAAATTTCAAGATCTGGTGATTCACAGGTGCAAGAAGTGGCTATTCTAACTGTCAGAACATCTCTCAATAATTCAGATCCGTGGCAGATATTCAGGATTTGTCCAGCATCGCCTGTGAGCAGAACTTCCAGAGGGGTGTGGAGTGTAAAACGCCTCGGCTGAGCCACGCTCCCACCAGTGTCAGCACCCCCCTGGGCTCAGGTAATGCAGGGAGGGGGAAAAGAGGATTCACAGGGGATGATTTCTCCTCTCTGTGCCAGCCAGACCTTTCTGCACGATTTTTTTGGTGTAAAAAATCACCAAGGTGAATGGTGAAGCTCCATTTCTCTGTGCAGAAGCGCTTGCACAAGAAATGCTGTTGCTCCTGTTGTTGGGAATCTCACTGTCCAAAGGAGAATTTACAGGGACACAGCTGAAAATGTCACTGCCTGGAAGGTCTCTGGAAGATATTGGCAGCCTTCATAAGTCAGATATTAAGTAATTTAAATTTGAACTGATACCTGTGGATTTTAGCATTTTAAAGGCAATTTAATAAGCACTCAGTGTGGTTTGAATGTTTATAACAAGTTAAGTAGCATGATAAATGTTTGTTGAGCTGGAGTGGCTTTAGAGTAATGAATTAAAATTTGCTTTGTGCTTCATTAATTTGGTGTAACACAGTTTGGACTTCCTCAGTTGGCAAAGTTTTGTCTGGGGTGGAACTCCTGAGTTATCAGTTTGGTCTTTTATGGGTAACAGTTTCTCAAGAGTTTCTTGTGCAAATGCCTGTTCCCTTTAAACATTTTTCTGCTTCTGTTGAAATGTGCGAAAGATACAAAACTTCCAAAAATAATTCTCCAGCTTTGCTGTCTTTTTTTTTTTTTCTTTTCCCCGTGTTTTTTTTTTTTAATTCTAGAGGAAAAATTTCCATTGGCCTTTGAGAAATACAAACAGTGCCGTGAATTTTCTTCAGATTCTTCCTTTTGTGGCTCTCAAGAGACCTCCTCCACAGTGTTCCAGACTTTCACCACAGCCTGTGAAGGGGAGAGGAGCATGGAAATTCCAGTGGTGGCTCCAAGAGTTTGCCCATTTGCACTGAAAGAGCCTGTAAGTCAGAAAATAACTTAGGCCAGGAGTTTCTTTAAATATAAATATTATTTTAATGTTCCTTGAACATATTTTTAACAGTACTTTTATTAAAAAGAAATGCAAGTAGAGAAATGCTTGTAGGTGTTTGTGATTGTTTTGGAATCGTGGCTCTGTTGGTGAAGTCCTGCTCCATCCCTCCCTGGCTGTGGGGGATTTCCACCTCCCAGCCTTTGGAATCTTGGATTCCCATGGATTCGGAAAAAGGGAAAACCCGGATTGAAGATGGAGTCTGGAATGGACTCAGAAAAAGGGAAAACCCGGATTGAAGATAGAGTCTGGAATGGACTCTGCAAAAGGGAAAATGTGGACCAGATTTTGTCCAGAGTGGACTTAGAAAAAAATGGAAAATCAGGATTATAGGTGGAGTCTGGAATGGACTCTGCAAAAAGGAAAACCTGGACGTCCTTACAGCAGGAGTCCGGAATGGACTTGGCAAACAAGAAAACCTGGACTCTGCAAAAGTGAAAACCTGGACTGGATTTTGGGCAGAGTCTGGAATGGATTTGGCAATAGCGAAAGGCCAGACTGGATTTTGGCTGGGCTCTGGCATGGACTTGGCAAAAGGGAAAATGAGGACTGGATTGTGGCTGGAGACTAGAATGGACTCTGCAAAAGGGAAAACCTGGATCAGATTTTGTTTGGTGTCTGGAATGGACTCAGAAAAAAGGGAAAACCAGGACTGGATTATGGCCAGAGTCTAGAATGGACTCGGCAAAAGGCAAAACCTGGACCGGATTTTGGCTGGGCTCCCGAATGGACTCAGCAAAAGGGAAAACTAGGAATGGATTCCGGCCAGAGTCTGGAATGGTCTTGGTCAAAGGGAAAACCCAATCCCGATTCTGGCCAGAGTCCGGAATGGACTCAGCAAAACCCCTTTGATCAGGGGTTGTCCTTTGTGTGCACATTAAATGTGCCCAATCTCGTCAGCCTTGCTCTGTCAGAACCCCTCCCTCTGGAGTGCAGAGCTTCCCAGGTCTCTGCAGCGATTTCCACTCATCCTTCTGGCACTGACGGTGTTCCTGAGCCGCAGCGTTATCTCAAATTGTCTTTGCAGGCAGTTTTATATAAAACAGTTGCCTTTTCACCTTTCTGATGATTTCCAGTGCTGGGGCTGTGGTTCAGAGCTGGAATCAGAGTTTGCTCAGGCACGGCAGCAGCGAGTGCTCATTGTGTAGCTGACCTGACACAGGCAGGTCTGTGTCGTGCTGCTCCAGTGCCAGAACACTTGGAATTCATTAAATTCATTTACAGGGCAGAGTTGCCCTGAGTGGCCCTGCTGATGCTGTCACTTCTTGTCCAAAATCTTATTCTAGAATTAAGTGCATAGTGCCACTTTGAGGGCAGTGGGGATTTACCTCTGGTTACAAATTCTTAATTTTGGGGGGGCTCTTCTGATGAACAAATGTGCCTGGTTTTACTAGTGAAAGGTCCCAAGCAGAGAATGGGAACGGAAGAAATCTTGGAACTTTCCAGTCAGAAAATTCCCATCCAATTGTCCGTTCAGAGTGTTGAAATAAAGATTATGTAGCTGATGGTATCTAAAATATGACTGCACAGCAATACAAGGAAAATTTTTGACACATCAGTCTTACTCTATTTTCATATTCTGGACTGGCTGAAAATCTTAGTTTAAAATGTAATGGTCAGCTCAGGCTTTAATTGAAGGTTCTACCTCATTTTGGATTTAGGATGTTGAAGGGAAGGATTGAAGATCAGCAGTTTTTCAATTTAACTTCTTGTATTTAATTCTGTTTGATCTCACACAGGTTGGGTTGCCACCAGTTACTTCATCCCTGAGGAACACCAGGCAGGCACCTGGTAAGTCTTTTATCCCAGCCCCAGCCAAAATAAATGGTTCAATAAACAGAGAAATGGATTTGAAAGGAAATTCAGCAGTCTATTAATTATTTTTCCTTTTTTCCTCCACTGCATTTCATTGGATGTCTGTTTTTTGAGGGATAAATAGCTGAGCACTCAACCATGTACTGCTGGTGCTAATTAGGTTATGGATTTTGTGTTTGCACCTGCAGACTAAGAACTCTGACCTCTAAATCAACCTCTGTTTGAAGTGTAAATATTACTGGCCTCAGATTTCTGATACAGCATGTGCAAGTCTGGCTCGAAATGATTTTTCCATTATGGAATTATTTAGGGAAATTTGATAAAATATGAATGAGCCAGGCCCGTGCAGGGTGTTAAATGAAATATGTAAGCAAGATGCTATCAGAGCGTAAGCTTATGTCACAGTTATTAAGGATTAATCACTGCTAATTAACTAGAATTTTTTTCTCTCTGTTTCAGCACTCTCAGAGGCATCTCCCCTCTCCATTGATGAGCTGCCTCCACCAGCCCAAGAGCTGCTGGATGAAATTGGTAAGAGGCACTTCACCCCAAACTGTGGGAGGCTTTCCAGCTGTGCTCAGTCAGGATTTCTCCCAAACCATTCACTGCCAAAATACACTGGAGCTTCCAAATTAGTTGCAGTCAATTATGAGGAAAATCAAGAGCTTAAATGATCAACAGCTTAAATAACTGGCAGTTCTTGAAGCCTCTGCATTTCTCTGAGTGGTTTCCTTGCTGCTGTTGACAGCACACTGAGTGCAGGTGGAGTTTAACACAGAGAGGAATTTGGTGTACACTGAATTTTTCAAAGGTGTCCTGGAGCAATTTGTGTTCCTCATTAGAGGAGGCAGCTGCACCCCCCAGGTGTCTGTGCAGAGCTCAGTGATTTACATTTCTTCTTTTGTTCACACACATCTCCAGTCAGAAAGTGTAAAAACTGCGTGGTTTTCACTGGGAGGGTGTTGGAGAAGAGTTTCCTTTGCTTATCCATCAATGAGATCTTCCTAAATTAACACCAGACATTGGGGTAATTAAAATGTCCATCCTGACTCATTCACCAAAGCAAGACTGGCACCATCAGTGATGCCATTAATGATGCTCAGGGGCACTTTGTAGGGCAATATATAAAATAATTATAAATCATGTGCAGGTTTTCCTCTGGGGTTGGATGGATAAAGTTATATGGTACTTTAGTGTATAGTCAGCCTAGATCAATATGGAAATAATGCTGTTTTTAACAGAACACTTAAAGCAGCAAGATTCCATCACTCCAGACTTGGAAGGGATAGGATTGCAAGACTCTGGAGTGCAAGTGAATAGTTGGTTGTTAACAGTCGTAAAGTAGAGATTAAAAATAGAAAATTCCTTTTACCTCGCTGCAAACTGCCTCTGAGTCCTCGTCACTGTGTGTTCAGCTGTAACAATAAGCTGCAATTTTTAGCTTGGTGCCCCCACCAATGTTTGCTGCCTTTCCCTGTGTGTTCCCTCCAAAGTCCACGGGGAGCTGCTGTGGGAGGTTTGCAGGTCTAAGCAGGAGAATTAATTTTCTGCTTTTATTATGCCACTGTGGCTTGTGCTGTGTTCCAACACAGGTGGCAACAGCCACAGGAGCAGAGGTGGTGGGCAGGTGATGTTAAATCCATTGAAGTTTCCATTCTGGGAGGGTGATTCAGTTCAGAAAGTGGCCAGTGCACCCTACCTGTTAATGTTCCTAATTCTCCAGCATGAAATAATGCCTCTGATTTCATAGGGGAAGAAAATAACTTCCACTGGGGTAATGAATATTGTATTTCCTGATCTGTTACAGAGACAGCAGAGTGGTGAATCTTTGTGCTGCTGCAAATGCAAATGGTGCTAAGTGGGAATCATTTTTAGATGTACAACAAGTCGTGTCAGAGGAGCAGAAAACCTAAATGTTTATAGGCTGTGCTTTTTTTTTCCCTCCAGTGAGTCACAAAGTGAGCAGCAGTAGAAAAAAAAAAAGAAGCAGACAAAAAAAGACAAAAAAAAAAAAAGGCAGAACATGAGTTAAGTCTGTAAAAAGCTCAATAACGCAGTCACTTGAGAATGATGCTGGCACATGTTTGGTTATCCTACAGCTTTGTTAAATCTTTTCCTGAGGGATGGAAGTTCATTGGAGCTTCTTGTTTTTAGGGGGAGAGGACTGCAGCAGGCTATTGCTGGCTGCTCAATCACTGTGGTTTTCTTGTATTTGCATAAAGCACAGCTATTTCAGACTCCCATTTTCTGTGGCAGCCTCGTGCTTCCTGCTTATCACAGCCCAGCAGAAGGGGCTGAAATATTCCCCATTAGCCCAAACCTAAGTTTAACCCCATCACCATGAATTTCCAGATCAGAAAATTCACCATGGGGTGCCTTTCCCAGCCCCAGTGTTCCTGGAGCTGTGGGGTCTTTCTCAACCCTAAGCCCAGCCCTAACCCTGATTTCTGTGGGGAGCAGAACTTGCTGATAAGTTTTTGAGGGGAAATCACTGGATTTTGATAAATAGGCAAACCAAGCTGTCATCCTCAGGTTTCCCTTGGATTTCTCTCCCATATCTGGGATTGGAAGGGGAAAGATTAAAGATTCATTTCCACATGCATTTTTCATTTCAGTGGGAAACAAAATGTAGAGTCCTGTGAATCTGGAAATGTGTTGGAGTGAAATATTTATCTGGGCCTTGTTGCTGGCCACCTTTGACTGCAGATAATGGGAATTTGTTCATCTGGTAGAAAATCAGGCCTGACTGAGGAAAGAGTGACTGAGAAGTGGGCAACTGGAAATTGTCCAAGTGCAGCAAAGAAAACAACATTTTAATGTCTTTCTTTATCTTCCTTTGATACTAAAATCTTGCTGTTTGTGTGAATAGCTCTTGATCAAGTTCAAATGGAAAACAGAGGAAAAGAATCTGAGAGAAATGAGAAGACAAATCAGAGTTCATGGACTAAGGAGTCATTTAATCTAGCAGAGGATACAGAAAGGTATGAAAAAGGATGGGAGGGCATGTTTGGCTTTGAGTTACAAAGACTTAGAATTTTAATAAGATTCAATGTTTGCAGAAAACTTTAAGTACTAAATGTTTTATTTGGAAATTTGCAGCATGAACCTTGTCACCATCACTTTGGAATCTTTTATTTAACAGGGCTCACTCCAGTCTCGATAATATTTTGGAAAGAATGCTCCATGCAGTTCCTGGAGATGAGGAGATCCAAGAACAACCTCAGGGACACACTCTTGGGTGAGCTGATAATTTATATTTGTGTTCAAGGGTTTATTTTGTGTGCTGTGTACAGATCTGTGGAGGACTTTGCAGAAGATGGGCTGTGACTCCTTAGGGAGTGGAGTGTCAGGGAACTTGCCTGGAGACATGAATGTGAACTCTCCTACTAAACTGAGAGGGAAAAAATGTTTTGTTAATACAACTTCCTGTAGGTGGAAAGCAAATACTTCAACAGCCCTGGGAGGCAGTGCTTGGTCTTCACAGAAATCAGAGATAATTTGACAGAATGGGGGAATTTTTTGAGACAGAGAAAATGTGCATTAAGAGAACAGAGTCATGAAAACTCTTTATAAAGAAGAGTTTGTGAAAATGGCTGTGCTTTCACGGCAGTTTATTAGGAAATTTGAAGAACGTGGCAGAAGTCATTTAAACATCATTTTAAGGAAAATATTCACATCCTAAATAACTATTTTTCCACTTAGAACAAAAGATCAGAGCCCAGTAACTTTGTGCAACTGCACACTGAGTGCTTATAAGTGGTCCCTGACTTCTGTCTCACCAAGGAACTTGAGACATTCTCATGTTTGGCATCAAATTTTTCAGTTTCATCCTGTTAAAAAAAAAAAAAAAAAAGCGATGACAAAATGACAAAACTCTGTCATTCAAGGGCTGCCAGCCTGCAGGATCCAGAAGATGCTGGAAGGAAGAATGGAGTAGAGGAGAGAGGAGCCTGGGCTGGAGGCAGAGCACCAGGAAGCTGTGCAGGGACTTCAGCAGGTGCCCTTTGTCTGTAGAGCTGCTGGATGCACCCAAAGTTTGAAATATGCCAAATCTCTGGTTACTTTTGGAAATATTGATGGTAATTTTAAAATGTAGAAGCCTGGGAGTGACATCACTGTGCTTGTTATTGCATTACAACAACAAATTGTTACTGCATTAGCAGCTATGCCCCTGTTTTCTGTCAGAGCTGAGCTGGGATTGGGCTTCAGGGATGGAAATCAGGATTGGTTTCTGATTTTCTGATCACCACAAAGGCCCTGGGTGATGCAGGAGCAGCAGAGCTGGGACTGGGTTCTGAATCCAAATGTGGCTGAATGATTCGAGCAGAGGAACCTGTAGCTCTTGATTCACTTGCTGTCTCTGTGTGGCTTTCATGTTCTGAGCTGAATTTCCCTGTTTTTTAGATGAGATCAAGGATCAGAAATCCCACCCCCAGCAGCAGCTGGCTTCAGGTCCACCCTTCAGGTGAGACTCTGTGAGTTAAACTGGAATTGTGGTAGAAATTTATTTGTGGCATGAGCTGCATTCCTTTTTCCCTGAAAAAGAAGCACTGTGAAATCCCATTCCCTTCATCTTGTACTTTATATTAGAAAAAAACAACTGCCTAACCTCTTTTTACTCCCTTTCTTTTGTCCCTTGCAGGATAATTGTTTTGGATGAGAGCTCTCTCCATGATTAAAACACAGAGTGAATAAGTTCTACCCATCACCTGCTTGCTGCTGCTTGCACAGTGTTTAGTCTGTGAATTACAGCCCTTTTTGGCCACATAAACACCTGTAAAGCTCAGACTTCATTAACAGCAGCAGCAAGTTCAGAAGAAAATCTAATGCTCTGTGTTCTGATATGGTTTGTACTGGTTTGATGCCATTGTTGCATGCCCAGGCAGTGTCAGTGTGCAGAAGTGAGCTGTTTTTTTACTGCCACATCCTTGTGGAACTGCTTTTTATTATACGTGCACGTGCACATTTTCATAAGCTAAAGAATTTCTTGCTCTGTTGCATTATGCAGTTTTCAGATTAAAGACAAAATGATTGTAATTCTGTGGGCTGCTGCTGCTGCTGAGGCACTGAAATGTTTCCATGCTGGAGTGTTACAGCCCATGTAGTGTCTGTTTTTCCTTGCTCATTAAATTTAACAAGGTAATTTCTTGTTTTCGGTTTACTTAGTGCTTTTGTGATCTAGTGTTGAACTGATTTGACTGATTAAAGGGATTAATTGCTGTGCAAAAAGCTAATGAGGAAAAGGCAGTGTTCTCCAGAGATTGCAAGTGCAGCAATATGTTCCCTGCCAGCATCAGACAAGAATGTGAAAAAAATGTGGTTGTTATGAAGATACCTGGTGTTTAATTCAAACCACATTTTTGGTAGTCCCTTGTCCAAAAAAACCACCAAGATCTCTGGATATAATTGACTTTTGGATGAGAATTTTGATGGGCACAGCAATTTCATGTTTAACAGTTTTCTTGTGGTAAATTCTGTTCAAGGTACAGGAGTGAAGGGTTGTCCTGTTCCCTGGGCTTTGAGCTGGTGTTGCACATTTTTGGGAGTGTCAAGTTTTGCATCTTCCTTCCTGCTTTTGCAAGGAAATGTTCCAATTCTGCACTTGTTAGTTTGGTTTAACAACATGAATAAAAGTTTCCAATGTTATTGTGCTGCCTTTGGTTCTCTTTCTGGCTTGGAGGTTCATTTTTGGGCTTGTTTTGTTGGGGTTTTTCACTTGTTTTTAATGCTGCTTCCCATCATCAGCCCATGGTACAAGCAGGGAGCTGCTCAAGGGAGGATGCTGCAGAGGTGAGGGAGCTTTTTGAGGAAAGATCAAGAGAAAATAAAAAATCTTTCTTGTGTTTGTGCTGTGGTGGCAGTGACAGAGCTGGAGCAGAAGCGCCTCAGGCCTAGCACAGGCCTCGCCCCAGGCTCTGACACAGTTCTGTCCAAAAAAAATGTTTAATATTTTCTAACCCAGACTTGTACCAACCTGGATTATCCGTGTGGGACTTTGTTCTCCAGGCAGAAGGATTTTTATTCCTGGTAGGAGCTGCTGGAACAAGATCCTGCTCCCCACGGGCCTGTGGCTGTGTCAGCAGCAGCGATAGAGAGTGCAAAAAGTTAAATTGCAAATTTTTATTTTGTGATTCTGTCCTTGTGTGGCTTGTGACTCATAACTGAGGGTCATTCCCTCTCGCTTTTTGGGCAGTGTTTTTGTTGGGTTTCAGGCTTGTTCAATGAAATAAAACGTAGCCAAAGCCCATGGGGCTGCAGCAGTGTGGCAGAGAGCAGCACAGGAGCGTTTCCACATGCACAGAATTATCCATCACTGCATGGATAACAACATGTGAAATCTCAGCTTCCTGCATTTCTTCTTCTATTTTATCTGTGGGACCAAATGGTGAGCAGACTGTCAACCGTTTCCCTATCTTTTTTTTAATCTTAATGTGGAGAATTTTTATTTCTGTTGGTGGAGGGCCTTTTAAGTAGCCCCATAGCCTGTCTGATCTCCTTATCGGGGCCAGAACACAACAGAGATTTCAGTTTCTCAGCTGCTTGTACTTTCCCAGATTTAAGTTTAGCATGGATGTAAATCATCCTGATAACATATAGCATGGGCACAAAAGCTGTGATTAACAGGAACAATTAAACAAGGGCCAGTGCAAGACAGCAGAGGAGATCAGAGGCCCCATCTAATGATGCTTTTCAGCTTCTCAGAGAATGAAAGTGCAATTAATTAAATTAAAACAGTGATACTGAGCTGTTCTAATTCCTCTCTGAGCCCTGTGAGCTGAGCTGTTCTGCACAGCAGGAGAGAGGGAGGCTGAGACAGGGATGGGGATGGGTGTCCTGTCCCCCCACACCAGGTCATGCAATCGTGGAATGGTTTAGGTTGGAAAATACCATAAATATTATATAATTCCACCCCTCTGCTACCTTCCACTAGCCCAGGTTGCTCCAACATGTTTCATTCCTTTGTACTGGGCTGGTTTGGGGATTTTTGTTTTACTTTTGGTTTGAAGCAGAGAATCTCGGTGAAAAAAAAACAAAAAAAAAAAAAACAAACCAAACCCTCAGTCTCCCAAATCTCATCATCCTCTATGGCAGTGCAAATTGCTGGGGTGCCTGGCTGTGGCTCACCTCATTTTGACAGCAATTCAAGGGTTGAGGATCAGAAATCTGTAAAAAACTCTGAAGGCAGGCAGGCTTTTTTAGAGATAGAGGAATTGGGTGAAACCCAGTTTCATTGACTTGCTTGTCTTCAATATCACCTTCAGAAGCCTTTCCTGGGCTCCTGAATGGCAGAATCTGCCTCCAAAAACAGAAGTGTGATTGCAGCAGGGGTAGATAAACAGTGGGATTGGAGATTTAAGATGAGGTGTGAAGCTGTGGAGCCTGTGGAGGTTTTTTAATCTTTTTTTTTATCCTTACAGGCTTTGGCATCTTTTGTTTGCTGCTGGTGGGCCTCTGCTATGCCTTGGGGCCTGTTACCATTTGTGTTTTTACCCTTGCTGGGAAATCAGTGTATCCAGACCTTCCTTTATTGCCTTAACTCTAAAAAAAGAAAATTAACTTTGTGTCTGTTTTTTTTTTTCCTGTCTGTCTGTTGCAATGTTTGTGGCACTTGCCACGAGGGATGTGCCAGCTCTGGTGGCAGGAGGGGATGTGTTTTCTGTCAAACCTTCTATCAGCCAATAAAACAGATGAACTGCTCAGTATTTATCAGTGTTTATTAACACAGTTGGCTCCTAAACATTGCTGCTGGATTTATGCCAGATTTACAGCATCTCCCTGAACTTCCCAGCAGGACCAGGCGATGCAGACAGGGCTTGGTCTGTCAGGGGATGGTGACAGATCGTGTTCCACCTGACTCTGGGCCAAACAGCCACCTGGGATGTTGGGCACTGAGGAAAAATTACTGTTCATTTTTTATTTGGTGTTCTTGAAAGGCTCCAAGGTGAGGGGCTGGGAGGGAGGGTGTTCCTTAGGAGAGGGAAATCTGCAGTTTCTCCCATGATGGAATGGCTCCTCACCTGCAAGAAGACACTGTCATGTCTTTTTTGTTGTTGTTGGGGATCTCTCCAACCTCAGAGGCCCCCATCAGCTCCACCCCGAGCCCCTCTGTGCTGCTGTGGGTGGCACAGGCAGATCCTGGAGCTGGCAGCTGTCACACGGGGTGAGATGGTGTCACCTTGTTCCTCAGCCCCTCTGCAGCGACCTGGGGACTGGGGGCAGCTGGAGAGGTTTTCCCCATCCCCCGAGGGTGGTGACCACAGCACAGCATTCCCAGCAGGCAGCTCTGGAACTGAGCAGGGAAGGAAGGGACAGGTTATTTGTGGCAGCAGAAATCCGGCGTCACCTGGAGACTCGGCAGCTTGGACTCTGGTTATATTTTGGGAAAGTTCTCTTGTCTATTCCCAGCCCAACTCTTTGTGGTTTATGGACAATAAAAGTTTCATTCTGTTTGCTTTGTGCCTTCAACGAGCAGCTTGTGAGCCAACATTAAGTTGCCTGACCCCATAAAACCATGGAAGCGGAAAATGAGCTCTTGTTCAGACTCGCAGGCTGCTCCCTCCCTTTCCACCTTATTCCCCAAATCCTTGCTGCTTACACAGCAACCCCGAGCCTGTGACCACACTTCCAGGTAGGACAGATGGTTCCTCCAGGATTTTTGAGCCTGTCCAGCTGTTCTCCAGCTTGGTTTGTTTCTTTGGAGCTTTGTCTCACCTGTTTGTTCATGAAGACATAGATGATGGGGTTGTAAACCGTGGCTGTCTTGGAGAAGTAGGAGGGCAGGGATGCCAGGGCTGGCTGGATGACAATGTCCTTGTGGGTGGCCACCACCAGTGCAAAGGTGGCGTAGGGCAGCCAGCAGGTGAGGAAGGCCACCACCATGGCCACCACCATGCGCGTCACCTCCCGCTCCGCCTGCTGCGTCGTGTCCGACTCCTGCTGCCGCGCCGCGGCCTGCGGGGAGTTTGGGAGAGAGGGAGACGCCTGTCAGCAGCTTGGAGCAGCAGCTTGGAGCAGCATCCCGTCCCTTGGGAGCCCTGATGGCAGTGCCAGGAGGAGCCAGCTCCTCTGCTGTCCCCAAAACCCGCCCTGAGGCTCTCCATCCCTTGGGAGCGGCGCACTCACCGCCCGCAGGGTCAGCAGCAGGTTGGTGTAGGAGAAGAGGATCAGGCTGAGGGGCATCACAAAGCAGGTGACAAACAAGGCCAGGATGTAGCTGCTGTTGTTGCTGCCACCTGTGTACCAGTTGGGCCCGCAGGAGGTTCTCAGGCCTGGAATAAATGTTGGGAATGAGCCTAAAGCTTGGATAAGGGCTCTAAAACAGCCATGCCACCCAAGCACCTCATGTGTCCATCCCTGAGGGTCTGGAGATCAGCCACTGGGGGGTTTGGGCTGGCCAGATGCCCTCTGTGATTTGTTGTGGAGTTGTGCCAGGCCCCTTCAAGAGCGGGTTTGGGCTGGGTGTGTGCAGCCAGAGCAGCTCCTGGCTCCAATGGAGTGTCCTGTGATGGGGAACTTCCAGAGAACAGCCTCCAGGAGAGGATTGTTGGCTGAGCAAGCAGGAGGTATTAACAGGAGAGATTAACCCTTTAGACTCCAGCCCAGACACTCTCCAGCTATCCCAAGCTTGAAAACAAGATGCAAGAAGACAACACGGCACAGTCTGATGTACATCTCCCCTACCTTCAGGCACGTAGCTGCTCCAGCCCAGGAGTGGTGGGGTTGTCCAGAGCAGGGACCAGCCCCAGGTGAAGGCACAGCCACTGGCAGCGTGCTGCTGCTGGAACCGAAAGTCTCCCAGGGGTCTGCAGACCACCAGGTACCTCTCCAAGGCCAGGATGGCCAGGGACCACAGCCCCACGATGCCTGGGGGGACAGCAGGAGCTGTGTCTCAGAAACAGCTTCTGCTGCCTGTGCTGGGATGTGGCAGATGATGATTTAGTTCAAGTCAATATTATCTGAACGAGAAGTCGGATGTTTTTTTTCTTACATCAGGGACAGCTGTGATATTTGGCCATTAAAAACTGTAATTTTGGCACGGCTTCTCTCACGGCAGGGACAACTGTGATATTTGGCCCTTAGAAATGAAGTTGGCAATGGGTGGCTGTGACGCCTCAGTTACAACAGAGCATCCTCAAGGAGAGGTTTTGTGCAATTTCCAGTCCCTGGTGTGCTGGCACAGCAGCCACACCCCATGAAATGCATCCCAAACAATGTCCCCACGTGGCATTTCTCACTCTGTCAAGACCCAGACTGGACGTGTGGTGACCTGGCACAGCCAACCATCTCCCTAACCCTTCCCTGTGCCAACCAAACGCTGAAGGACACGAGTTCCACCAAGTGTTGACTTTAGGAGGTGAAACACCTCCAAATCCCTTCTGCTAAACCCAAAAGCACCGGCACAGCAGGTCTGGAATCACTCCTTACCTGTCAGGGACACCATGAAGCCCTCCAGCTGGCAGAGCCGCTCCCCAAACACGAAGAAGCCGCTGATGTTGTTGGAGAGGCTGACGGAGCTGCCGCAGAGCGTCACCAGCAGGTTGGCCACGGCCAGGTTCAGCAGGATGTAGTTGAGGGGCGAGCGCAGCCGCTTGTGCCTGACGGACACCACGATGACCAACCCGTTGAGCAGCGAGGCCGAGGCCACCACCAGCCCCATCAGCACAGCCACCACCAGGTAGGTGGCCCGGGGGGCCTGGTGGGGCCACTGAGGGCCATCAAAAGGCCCCGGGGTGCTGCTGTTTGGGGGCTCCTGGGTGCTGTCCATGGAGCAGCAGCACCTGGGGCAGGTGAGTCCCCCAAAAGCAGAGCCCCTTTATAGAGCTGGAGGAGCCAACGTGCCCCAGAGCAGCTTGGCTTTCCAATACCTTAAGCTTTATTTTAATCTGTAGGGTTTGTCCTCCCTCCTGCTTTTTATAATCAGCTCTTTATTCCCGAGGGGATAAAGAGTGACTTAAACAAAAATCTGATGGCTGAACAGAGCTTCATTTAATTGAGTAGGTATTTTTTTCTTTGTGCTTTCCAGGTGGGTTTTCCTGTGAGCCCAGCGCTGGCAACTGGATCTGGACATCATTCCCTGTGCCCTGGGTTTGCTGGGCTTCAAGGCTACTAAATACATATTAAACAGAAATAAATATAAATATACATGCAGTATATATACTTAATTGGGCCATATATATGTATTTCTCTCTCTCTCTCTCACTATATATATATATACATATATATATATATATATATCCATATATATTTTTAATAAATACTTATAAGTACATATATAGTATTTATGCTATATTGGACCAAACATCCCCCAATGCTCTGGTTTAAAACCATTTCTTCCCAAATCCTTGCCATCCCCCAAATTCAAAAGCTGCACCACCAGCATCAACTTCTTTCTTTTTTTTTTTTTAATTTTTATTTTTAACCTTTTTATTTTCGGTTCTCATTATAAATATTAACAAATCTGACCAAAAGTACACAGATAGGTAATACTGAAATACAAAAGTCTCTCAGGATGCAGGTAAGGACGGTTTCTGCAGCCTTCACATGGTAGCAAAACATTGGTATCAAACATTTCACGAGGCCTGGCATGACAACCACCAACTCTGCATGCAGCTGGGACGAGGGACAGTGTCCACTTAGAAAAGACTGGGGTACAAAGTGAAGGAACCCACACACACATGTCCTGCTCCAGCTCAGGCATCAACCACTTTCACAGGCTGGAAAAAAGGATGGATTGAAAAGAACTTTGCCAGAAAAGGGAGGCACAGCCAACCTGGTGCTCCTGGAGCTTCCCTGGAAGCTCAGACCCCAAGCAGGTTTTAAGGTGCTGGACCAGAAAGGATTAGTGGGAACATCTGACTTGACAGGCTGCCAGCATTCAAATAAAATCCATGTGTATCTGCAGGATGCATTACAAATATTGAGTTATTTAAAAACCCCCAATGTTGTTTTTTTAATTTTATCTCCCCCTCCCCCAATATCAAAGGTGTAAGAAGGTGTAAGAGGATCATCACTTGGAAAAGTAAATGTAGGTTTCCAGAGATTCCACTGCTTCCCAAGAGAGAAAAAAGAAGTTGGCAATACATGCACAGGGCTTGGGAACTGAGGGTAACTGAGACTTGAGGGGAAAGAGCAGCTCTTCCTAAGAAATCATTGTTTAAAGGCTTCCAAACATTTTGGGAATGGTGCAGCATTTCCTAGAAAGTTTTAGTTTATCCCACTGGGTGTCTAGTGGGATGAGGATGAAGAGACCAGCCAAGGTGGATCACAGAGGATGATATCTGGGATTATTATAACATTAATACATTATTACAGTGCCATATTGATATTACTGTGCCATACACAGACATTTATTTGGTTTGGATGCTGTTTGAGGCAGAAAATGAATCAACCTCACGGCCATGCCGAACTACAAACACAATTCCAGCTCAGCATCTTCATTATTTAATGGATGAATTGGAAAGGGACGAAAAAGGGAAAAATGATAGAAAAATTCAGCCTGAAAGCTGGCTTGGCTGGAAAAACAGCCGTGCTGCTGCATGGCGTGGTTTGATTAGGAGAGATGCTGCTTCCTGGGAAGCAGGAACAGCCAGGCTGTTCCAGGGAGCTTTTTTATTTTGCCTCCCAAAATTGGAGCTGCCTGATCCCAGGAGGAAAAGCGTGGCCTGCACAGCTCTGCTGCCTGCAGGTGAGTTACTGGAGAGGACGAGCACGACATTCCTGGAAGGAAAGCAAACACTCTTTCTGGATTTACCTGGGACACGATCAATCATTCCAACAGAGGAGCTTTAAATGCAAAAAAGACTGTTTAGGCCCAAACCACAGAGACTGACAAACCACCAGAAATATGGCACAAGCTGCCTCGAGGAGACAGTTCTGGGTTTTGTGAGTTTTTAGGGACGCCTTTTGCCGATGCCGGACACACGGACGCGGACGGACGCATTCATATTTTTTTTTTTTTTTGCCACTGACTTGCAAGGCAGCGAGAAGGTAACTGAGTAGAGGCAGGATTTGGGAGAGGAGCCAGGCTGCAGTGCATGCAGGGGTGCACACCTGCGTGAGTGTGAGTGTGAGTGTGCCCGTGCACACTCGAGAGCGGGGCCGTGAGCGCGGCAGGGCGCAGAGAGGCGTTCTGGAAAAGCCTTGGGAGCCACCAGAGCAAACCACCTGCACCTTCTTCCCTGGGAAGGGCTTCCCTGCAGCCAGGCCCTGCTCTGGGGTGTCCTGCTCCCCTGGCTGGCCCGGGATCCCCCGGACCCAAAGCTGGAGGAACCCAAGGGCTCAGTCGCTGAGGACGGCGCCCGGCAGCTCGTTGGTCAGCGTGTGCCAGCGCTCGATTTTCTTGTCCTTGTTCTTCAGGCAGTCGAACCAGTGCTTCAGCCGCTCCCCTTTGGCATTAATTCCTAACACGACTCCGCCTTGGAAGGGAGACAGAGAGAGGGAGAGGTGTGGGGGGAGCATCAGCTCTGCAAGGGATGCTGAGAGATGCTGGGAGATGCCGAGGGACATCAGGGGATGCTGGAGGGAGCCAGCATCCTCACAGCATCCAGCCTGATGTGAAATCCAGCCCAAATTCCCCACTTCCCTTGTGGCTGTGGTCTGGGACCTGTCCCAGGCAGTGCCCCTGTCCCTTGTGCCAAGGGCTCACTGCAATCACAGGGGCTGTCAGAGGCACTTGTTAGTGATAAATCACAGTGACCAGCAACAAAATCACAAGCAGCCCAGACATCCAACAGAGATAAATGATACCTCCCTGTTAAACATGTTTTGCACTCAGAGGAAAACATCTGAAAACAGAAGGGGACAGGCAGATGCATTTTCTCCCTGCTTGGATGCTCGTGAGAGGCTCAGGTGCAGGAGAGGGATAAAAGCAGAACCAAAACCGGCGAGAATGAATGTGGGCATGGAGAACAAAGCAGGAGGGTGGAGGAGTGCAGGAGAAATAAGAGGAACAGACAGCAAAGATAAATAAAAAAGAGGCCAAGGAGACCTTTTGGAGTGTGCTACTCACCTATGAAATCGTTGGATTTCCCGATGTCATAGTCCCACACAGTGACTTCCAGGGTCTTCTTTGCCAGGTCACCGTGCTTTATCTCATAGAAAAACTCCTGTGGAGGAGCAGAGTCAGGATGAAACAGGGGCTGGGGCTGCCCATCCTCCTCCTCAGGCTTTGCTGCCCACGGGGAACCCAACCCCAATCCCTCAGACAGTGACTAAAGTGGTGTTTTTTTAATCTTTTAAGTCTGAGGTTGAGAAAAGCCCCTCGATGAGAACCACACCCACCTCATTGAACTCGGGGTTCAGCGTTTTCTTCTTCACCGCCGTCTTGTGCTTGGATTTCTTGTCCTCATCTGGTTTCAAGTAACTGCGAGGAGACCAAAGTGGGTCCCAGTGAGGAGGGCAGGAGGCCACGGGTGGGGACATCAGAGCCAGGCTGAGCCCCCTGACCCTCCTCCCCTGCCAAAACGCCCGAAAATTCTGGGGTTAGCTGGGAGGAGGCAGCATTTCCCCTCCTTAGAAGCTGCTGCTGCAGTCAGAGAGCCCCGATTATCCCATCTCCAGTCCCTAGGGGACACTGGCACTGCACACACGCTGTCCAAAGCCAGCACTGCCAGCCCAGCACCTGTCCAGACTGGGGCTGTGACTGGTCTGCTCATGCAGAGCCTCTCCAGGAGACAGGAACCACCTGCAGTGTGGAAAAGGGAGAGGAACGAGCAGCTTTGAGCTGTTCCCTACAGATATCGGGCAGCACAGCACCAGAGCTGGACAGCAAACAAGATAAAAGTGTCATCAGGCAGAGAGGGGACCCGAAATGTGGGCCAGGCCAAAGGCAATCCATCGTGGTTTTGTGCTGGTGCTACGCCTTTAAACATCAGTTCTGCTTCCTTGCTACACGTTCCAGATCTTGCTCATGATTAAAAAATTAGGCTTGTGCCGAGAAGCATCACTTTCCTATCTGCTCTGATCCCAGCCCTGCGGATGCAATCTCCTGTGGATGGCACAGGGGACGCCCAAAACTGGCTGAGTGCAACAGCAATTGTGTTGCTCAGGGCCTGAGCCGCCCATGGGCATCTAAAAAAGCAAGAGGGGATTTTTATACAAACACCTCCACTCCTAAAAAACAATTAAATGAGAATGTGAAAGTGTGCTGCTGATAAACTCCATTACTGGATCTCCCAGGTGTGGTTTCTCCCAGTGGTTCTGCCTTTGCAAATACCATCCCTAAAAGTGCCTGAATTTGAGTCAGCACAGTGGGGACAAGGAGGCAGGACAGGCACAGGGTCCTTCCTTGCCATGGCCACCCCTTCTTTGCAGAGAGTGAATTTGAAACATGCCATCCCCCCCAAAAAACCAGGAGCTGTGGTGAGTCAGGGAGACAACCCCAGCCCACCTCACCTGGAAGCTCTGCCAGGGAAGAACGCTCCAGGCAGAGGCAAGCTGCTGCCTAATGGCCTCATTTGCATCTCCTAATGAGAACAATTAATTCCCGCTGTGGGGAGAGGCAGGGGTGACACTCACATTTGGGGAGAGGCGGGGGTGACACTCACATTTTGACGTAGGGGTCGGAGTAGCCGTTGGCATCCATGGCAGCCAGGTGGGCACAGCGCAGGATGCCCACCTGCAGGCCCTGCTTCTGCGAGCTGTACTTGAGGGAGATGAGGATCCTGCCACGCTCCTCCAGCGACTTGTCCTCTGTTTTATCTATCTGGGGAGGGAATGCACCCAGTCTGGGGGCTGTACCTGGGTACAGCCACAGCCAGACACTTCCCCAGCCAAGGGATGCTCTTCCCCACATCCCTGATTATCTCCGAGGGGCCAAACAGCACCATGTTCCCATGTGCCACAGGGAGAAGCTGCTGTACCTGTGGTTCCAAGGTGGGGTGAGGCTCTGAACCCCCTTCACTCACCGGCAGCTGCTTCTCCAGGCAGATGTTGAAGTTTTTGGTCTGGTTGGGTTTCAGTTTCTTCAGCGGGATGCGCGTCTCGCCGATGAACTCGTTGTGGCGGAACTTGTCCTCGTCGCACACCGAGATCCTGCAACAGCAGGGGCTGAGCAGGGACACTGGGGACAGGGGAGGGGCTGCCCCCTGCACTGCAGGTCCCCCCAGGCTGTGGACAGGCCACCTCCTCTGCAGGCAGCTGGAGAACAGCTGGAATGCAGCTGGAATGGAAGCGGCACAGCCCGGCCAGGGCAGCTCAGGGTGTGAATCTCTGTGTCTAAATGCACAAGCACTGTTGGAAAAGCAAGCTGGAGCCTCAACCACCCTAATGACTCTGCCATGAAAACATCAGAGTCATCACTGACTAAAGCAAGATGATTTGGAGATGCTGGAGCTGCATTTTGCCCCACCAGGGAGGCTCTTCCTCATCCCTCCCTTGGACTCCCTGATTCCCACACAGCTCCTTCCCCAGGAGCTCCCAGGGTGACCCTGGCTGGGACTCAGAGCAGCTCTGCCACCTCCTGTCCCACCAAACAGACAAGGCCAGGAGTGATTTCCACACCTAGAGCACTGAAACATCACAGCCTGGGCAGGTGAAGCTCCCCCAGCCCTGCTGGGATCCATCCCAGTGACGTGGTGCTGAGCCCAGCCTGTTTTCCATGTTTTCCATGAAAAAGCCACCAATGCCTCTCCCTGAGCTGGCAGCTAATGAGTCATTCCTCTGCTGCTTCTGACAAAGTTGGTGCTTGCAGGGAGCCTCTGCTTGCAGCTCCTGAAATCCCAGAGGGCCAGAAGGGTTTTAATCCAGTGCTGGCAATGGGGAAAGCCATCCCCATCCAAAGGGAGCATCCTGCATCCCCACTGGAGCCATGCAGGGACTGCCTGGGCTCCCTGCCCACTAAGGAAAGGCATTTCTTTTCCCTTCCCTTCCTTTCTCCTTTAAAAAAAATGTTCTTACAGTGTCTTCTCATCTTTTGGGTACCAGATTGTTTTATTTTTCACCCACTCCCTTTGGTGTCCATCTCCCCACAGGTGGCACTTCTGCCCCCAGGGACCACAGGGGAAGGGGAAAAGTAATTAAAGATAAATAATGCCCTGTGATCCCACCTGAGGGTAAATAATTGCACACCACACCTCTGGCCTGCTCAGGATCTGCATGGTTTATCCCTCCATGGATGATTTATCTGTGGATGCTTTAGTGCCTTACCCAAGGATGGTTTGACCACCCTCATTCTCACAAATGAGCAACAAGGAAACAAGGAAGCCATGGGGGTGTCTCAGTGCCACAGCACAAGGATCATCAGGGCTGAGGAGCAGCAGAGAAAAGGGGTTTGGGAAGAAAAAAAAATTACACAAGGAGGAAAACAGGGAATGCTGCTCTCCAGAAAACTGTGGCTGGATGCAGCGTTACTATAGATACCCACGGAAAAAAACCACCCCACCACAACAGTAAAATCCTCAAAGAGATTCTCAAATGCAGGCACGATATTCCCCATTTCCTCTCCTCTTTCTTGTAAAGAGCAAAACTAACAATGGAGCAGCAGCATCTCCAGGGCCAACACTGCTCTTGCCAGGCGTGGAGCTCTGTCCCTCTGGGCAGAGGGGACAGGAGGGGACATGGCCTCACAGGGAGCTGGCAGCCCAGGAGCTGTTTCTACACCCAGAAACTGAGGAGTGGTGCCTGGGCACTCAGGGAAACAGGGTTTGGGATGGTTTACCTCTTAAAAATGTGAGTAACAATTCTCCTGACAATGTCCAGGGATACCCCAGAAGCACAGCAAGATCCCAAACACAACCTCCTGCTTGCTGTGAAAGTTCAGGAGCCTCAGGATGGGCAAAAGCCCAGGAAGGAAACGTGGAAAACTCATGGGGGGGGTGGCAGGGAGAGCATCTCCAGTGTCACACTGGGGGAAACCCCACTGGGCGCTGTCTCAGTGCCCTCAGGGACAGGGGAAGGCCCTTGGGAGCTGGTTTTTAGCACATCTGCAGGGCCTGGGAGCTGTCCCTGCCCTGAGCAGCACAGTGGAGCTGGAGACACCTCCAGACCTCTCCCAGCCCTGTGTTCCCTCTGGCACCTCTGGCCACCTCTTTTCTCCCCATCTCCCCACATTTTGTGTGATGCCCAGAGGGGGTTTTGTGTCAGCTCTGCCAGTGCCTCAGGCTCAGCCCCCAGTCCCAGTTCCTCTTCCCAGCTGCAGTTCATCCCCACTGGAATGGGATTTCCAGCACTGCAGTGCCCTGGCCCATCTGTGGGATGAGCAGGAAGCTCCAGCCCCATCCCTCCCTTTGGAAAAAGGCATAATGCAATCACACCAGCTTGGATTTTATTAGGAGAAATCCATCTGATGGAATTTTTATGCCTTGGGTTAGAAAATCAGCCCCATGACAAACAGCACAAGGTGCCTGTGGCAGCCTCGTTCCCCTTCCATCCCCACCTGGAGCTGGAGCTTCACCCCTTTCTCACATCTCCTTATTAATCCAAATCCCTCCAACCTGGTGTTTCATTTGATATCCTCACTGTGGGGTCCTGATCTTTACATCAAGGGCTGTGAAAACCACCTTGGAAGGAAACTGAGCAGCAAATGAACAATCACTGCTCATTAAACTTCTCCTCCCTCCTACTCAGCCCGGGCTCTGGGCTCCAGCCCTGACTCCCCAGCAGCTCCAGCACTGACTCACGGCTTCTGCTCCCTCACTCGAGTTCCTCAGCCTCTTTCCCGCTGTGGAAAGGGGGAATGGGGCTCAGCAAGGATCCTTTTCCACAAAAACACACAGAGCACAGCCTGAGATCATCCCCTGCATCTCAGATCCCTGATGGCAACAAGGGAGGCTCTCCGTGAGGAGCAGGTGATGCTGGCTTGGTTTAAGGACGGGCAGCACCGAGCAAGGAGACAAAATAACACCTTGGGAAAGTCCAGTTCTCCAGAAAACAAAAGGAGGATTCCATCATGGGCTCCATCACAAAATGCCTCCAAGTCTAAGCACAGAAACCACAGCAGAAATGAGTTGTAATTACAAGTGCACCTGCAATTCCAAGCAAACCTCATTCATCCAGAGTAAAGCAATTTGGGACCCCAAACCTTTAAGCGGCCGCACTCTGCTTATTAGTCCTGATCAAATACTATTTTCTGAATAATACATTTAATGAGTCATGATGTTTGTCAAACACATGATTAAACAAAGAATTCCTGGCATCCGTGGGCTAGCTGAGTACCCCATGAATAATGCATCACCTCGCCAATATATCTGGATATGAATAATTGTATCCAATATCTGGCCAGCTCGGGTATTTATTATGAATGCAATTTATTTATTGTATATTACATGTCTTATTTAAATGGAGGAGATTGTGTCCTGCCTGTTCCAGTTTCCCCTGCAGCATTTCTCTGCCTCCCCCTGACATTGTAGCCTGTGGTGGGAATGGGGACTCCAGGGTGGGATTTCCCTGCTGGTGCTGGCAGGGAATCTGTCCCCAGTGCCATCCATCTGTGCACTCCAGTGTGTTTTTCATGGCTCTGAACCTGCCTTTTCCCAGGCTGGTGGGTGGTTTCATCCCTGCTAAGCCTTGGGCTACACTCAGGGATATTTAATTCAATGAATGGATGAGACCTTTCGAGATCCACCCACCTGCTGCTCTCCACGAAATCCCAAATATCTGCTGCTTTTTGAGGGGGTTGGATCATTAACAAGATCCTGCCTGCCAGTGCAATTAGCTGGGCTGCCTTCACCTCTCCTTCACCTCGGGGAGGTGAACCCTGCTGGCTCCTGGGGGCTGTGACAGCAAAGTCACTCCACCACTTTGGACAAGGCCATGCAGGGATGAGGGAGAACCTGTCTGGCCATGCTGTGGGGTTGGGGGGCTTGGGCAGGAGGGGACCCAACACCCACCTCTCTGGGATGTCCTGACAAATGCCACTTGTCCCCTCCAGAAAGGCTGCAGGCACTGGCAGAGTGCCCCACGCTGCACCACCCCAGCTTTCCATGCTGGACACGTCCCACCAGGTGGGCAGGGAAGATTTCTGGGTGCTTTTCCAGCCTCCCTGACACATCTCCAGGCTGCAGGGAGGCGAAAGCTGGCGGCAGCTTTGATCTCCACCTTTATTTTCACATTAAAGAGACTCTGGAATTGCACTCCCTGCCCAGCTCAGCACCAGGGAGGCTCCCAGGGAATGGTCACTGCCCAGACCCACGGGAGCATCACTGATGCTCTTTCAAGCAGCACCAGCTGCCTGCCAGGAGCCTCTCCTGATTAGCACAGGGAAAATCAAGACTCCTCCTGGCTTTGAAGTTGGCTTTTCCTCGTGGAAAAGGAGATATTTTGAGGAGAAGATGGATGGGTGAAGCAAAGCACCCAAGGCAGGACAGTGCACGGAGATGTTTCCTGAGGGAAGCGGCGCTGGGAGAGCGAAGGGCCAGCTCAGAGCAGAGAAACAGCTCCAGCCACACCAAAACACTGACAGATGGCCAGTTTGGATGGGATATTGGGAAGAAATCCTTCCCAGTGAGGGTGGGCAGGCCTGGCACAGGGTGCCCAGAGCAGCTGTGGCTGCCCCTGGATCTCTGAAAGTGTCCAAGGCCAGGCTGGACAGAGTTGGAGCAGCTGGGACAGTGGAGGTGTCCTTGCCCAAAGAAATGATCTTTAAATTCCATCCAGCCCCATTCTCCTGCAGACTGAGGGGTCCCAGGTGGGGTACAGGAGTCCATGCTCAGTTTTGAGCTTTGGGGAGGGCACAAGGAGCTGCACAGCACCCAGGCTGATGGCAGGAATGGGAAAGGGCAGCACAGGATTTCTGTGGGGGAAAAAGGCAAATCCAGCCCTGCACATATCCTGGTGCATCCCCCATCCCACATCCCCCTGCTGCCTCCAGGATAAACAACCCTTCCCAAGGGAGAAGCAGCTCCCAAAGCTGCTCTGAAAAAGTGGGGCTCGAGCCCTGCTGCTCCCTGTCGCCTTCCAGCAAACAACTCAGCCAACATCTCCTTACAAACCCATTTCCACGCTTGAGGAGGCTGCAAACTTCAAAGCCTGCAGTGAAAAAAAATACCCACCAATAATAACAACAAACTGGAGGCTTCCCAGCCCCACCAGCCTGCAGCACTTCCAGCATGACTAATGTTTTCCAAGTGAAATAATAATCCACGGTGCTGAATTTCCCAGCACCCTGCACACTGCAGACAACAGGTGGGCTCTGCCCCTGCTTCACCTCCGAGCAGCACCTTTCACCAGGCAGCTTTGAGCTCTTGGCAGGAGCAAAATTACAAATTCCCAGGGCACCTGCTAATGAGGAGGGTGGGATTCCAGCCACGGAGCTGGCAAAGCCCTGAGTCCTTGGAGAAGGATGCAAAATCCTTTCTCTGCCAGTGGATCTTACAGCAAATCCTGCAGCACAGCCCCAGATCGGTGTGGTGATGGAGCAGCTGAGGCTGCCCACAATTCCTGCCCTCATCCAGGTGGGATAGAGGCTAAAACATGAAAAATCTTTGCATTCCCTGCAGAGCATATTCCAAGCTCTGCCCCTGCTCACCTCCACCCTCACACAACCTCTCCCAGCCCCTGGGAGATGCTGAATGCACAGACTGAGCCAACAAAATAAAATAATAAAATAAAGACCCACATCCTTTGTTTAGTTGGACAATAATTCACAGGTACCTCCAGCTTTCTAACAAAAAGCTCAGCTCTGACAGGGGCCCAGAACTTCCCTGAGGAGATTTTCTCAGCAAGACACGACCACAAAGCCTCAAAACGTGCCCGTGAGAGCTGGGCATGAAGAGGTTAAACCCAAACCACAGCAGCTCTGCAGGCAGGAGGCAGCCAGAGAGTCCTGGAGTTGATGATGCAGCAGGAGCAGCTCCTGGCTGGTTCCCCCAGGCCAGGCTCTGTCCATCAGGGGTCAGTGGCTCTGGGGTGATGGATGCACGCAGGGCACGCACATTCCCGGTTTACTGGGGATAACTCTGCCCTGCTCTGCTGGGAGCAGCTCCAGGAGCCTCCTGTGGGGCTGAGCGTGGGGGTCCCTGTGTGAAATTGTCACTGGGGTGGGGAGGGACTGTCAGAGTCCAGCACATCCCTCTGGCTGGCTCCAGACCCTGGCAGGGGGCTCAGAGACCTTGGCACCAAGTCAAAACCAGCTGTGGCTTCCATTTTAGTTGGAAAAAGCTGCCAACTTTTTATCAGGAATTCCAAGCCACAGGGGTTTGAGTAGTGTGGTAGTTGCATAACACAGGGTGAAAAAGTAGAATTTTTGGGTTTTTCGAATGAGGTTCAAGGGGACAAGAGGGAGGGATATGGGCATGTCCTGACCCTCTTCTCCTTCTCCTTTCCCTCCATGCCTTGCTGTGCTGGTGACACTTTTCTATTGGTTTAAGGCAGAGACACACTGTCCAACATAAATGACAGATATTGGCACATTATTGTAAACATAGCACAGGTAGTTTTTGGTATAAAATGTGAACACCACCCTGAGGGCAGACAGAATGGCATGGTTGAGCTGCTGGACAGAGCTCAGCAGGTCAGAGAAAGAATGTTCTAGAGCTCAGCAGGTCAGAGAAAGAATGTTCTAGCTAAGGGAAAATAAAAAAAAACACCCTTGAGAAGCCCACCCTACACATTTCAGGCTTCTTTGGCTGTGCAGGCTGGGAATCAAAGACTTTTACAGTCTTGGGGTCATCCCAACACCCAGAGCCCGAGAAGGGACAGCTGGCACAGGGCAGGGGGAAGGGAGCCGTGTCCCCCAGGACCGGGGGTGGCCCTACCGCAGCGTCTTGCGGATCATGTCCTCGTCGGTGATGCCGTAGTAGGTGAGGGTCTCGTTCCACGTGGGGTTCAGGGTGTTGCGCAGCGTTTTGGTTCTCAGCTTGTTTGCCTGGGAAAGCAGAGGAGGTGGGGTCAGTGGGATGGGCCACTTGGGCAGGAGAGGAGGCCCAGTTTGGAGATGGAGGGGCAATGGGTGCTGTCACTGTGCTGGCCCAAATCCACCCAAAATCTGGGTGGCAGGTACCACGGCAAGTGGGTCATCCCTGGCTGGGTAATAAGTTACATAGACTCTGTGCATTTACAGAAGGTTGACCATTTTCTTTATTAAGAAACCCATTGCTCTTTTATTTGCTGTAGGTGGAATTGATTGGTCTTTTAATTAAAACACTATCATCATTGGCTAATTAAATAACCACCCTTTGTTATAGAGATAAACAAATCTCTACAACACATTCTACATGTTCACAATACCAGGTGTAGCAAGTGAAGATAAGAATTGTTTCTTATTCTTTTCTCTGATCTTCTCACAGATTTTTCTCAGAATGATTCCTGGGAAAGTTGTGTTTTGCTCTGTGGCCACAGAGCTGCTGCCACAGGCAGGGACACAACAACTCACTCATTTCCAAACCATCCCAAACCCCCATCCTGCATCCTGGAAACAGCCAGCAAAATGGGAACCTTGGCAGAGCACGGACTGGGATTTCATTTAAGCAGGAGAGAGCAAGGAAGGGGAAAAAATCCTTTCTGGATTAAATAAAAAATGCTGATTTGCTGTTCTGGCTGCTCATTTGCACTCCTGCTCCCAGCACAGCTCTTGATCCTGCCTGACTCCAAACAACTTCCTTGGCAGGTATTTTGTCAGCACCAGCAGCTCCTTCCAGCAGCTCTGCTGAGCAGGAGGATGGGGACAGCAGGGCTTGTGTCCCCTGCATGGATGGGACATCCTGGCACACTGCCACTCCCAGCTCAGGGGACATGGATCTCCTCACTCCCTGAGCTGTCCTCACTTCTGGGAAGAGCAGACAAAATTCAGCTGAGGCTGCAGACTGGGTTTCTCCACCAGGCTCCCAGCCTGGCACCGCCTGGCAGAGCAGCAATTTTCCCTTTAATTAGGTGTTAGACAACTCAATCCCTGCCTCAGCTGCTGCTGGGCATAGGAAACCCTCAGCACATCAATACCTCCAAGTTGTCCTGTGGATCTTTGTGGGAAGCTGCTGCATTCCCCACCTTGGGTTCAGGAGCCCTGAGTGCCAAGGACAGCAGGGAAGGTGCCCCAATGGCACCCACAGCCTGCTCAGATCTGCAGGTCCCAGATCCTAATCCCTGCAGCTCCAGGCACTGGGAAGGGGAGTGGGTGACATGAACATCCCTGGGAAGGGACACAGTGAGATCAGAGGAGCTGAGCAGCTCCGGGAGTGCCTTTTTCTCCCATCTGGAATGACTCAGGAGTCAGCAGCCAGCTCTGCACGGGGAATGAATCCAGCCCTGATTCCCACACCCACAAGGGCTCTCAAGCCCAAATGTGGGACAGAAACACCCAAGGGACTCAGGGACTGTCCTGCTGCTGGAACAACTAGCCCAGGACAAACCCCCAGTGCCCCCAGAGCTGCTCCCGTCTCCCAGGGCAGAGCTGTTTGGAGCAGGGGGGCATCCCCATGGCTTGTGGATCTGCAGCTCCTGTGTTCCCTCTCCTCCTGCCTCCACCAGCTCCAGCAGAAATGCTAATCAATGGATTTGCAAAACATGGAAATGACTGATAATATTGCTGATGAAAGCGCTCCCGGCTCTGTTTGCAGCAGAAACTCAGAATGTGGTTAAAAACTTAAAACTCCCTCTGCCACCCTGAACATTAGGAATTAATCCAACTGAACTGTAACAAGTAAATACACCTTCCCCCCCTCCCTCAAAAAAAAAAGGTATTTCCTTTCGTGTGGAATAAGAGTGCAATTAATATTCCTAACACACACGCTGAGCATTTAAATTCCACATCCCCGTCACTTACACCGAGCTCTCACCACACATCAATATCTTTAATTACTCTTCTCTCCAGCAAGCGCTGAACCTAAGGAGATGGAAATATTTCCCTTATGATTTATACTCTGTTTTATTATGATCTGAGGGGTTTTAAATGCAAAATAATAACGGCGGGAAAAAAAAAAAAAAGGAAATTAAAATGGTCCGGTTGGTTTATAGCTGAGGCTGCTTCACTCGGTGCTTCCCGGGGGCTCCTGGAATGCAGCATTCCCATCCTGGGCTCCCAGGGAAAGGACTCAGGGCTGGCACCTGGCTGCCAGCCAGTGGTTTCCCAGCAAGGCTTTTCCATCCCTGCAAGGATGGATTCAACCTCAGTTCTTACCTCCTGCTCTCTCTGACCACCAGAAATTCAAGGTCTGGGTGCAGCAGCCCACAGCCCCTGGGTGAGGAGCTTCTCCCAGGCCTGAATTCCACTGAGGAAAGGAAGGATTCCCAGGAAATGAAGAAGTGAAAAGGTTTCTCACCTTACTGGCTCCGGGGAGCAAGTGCAACTTGACATAAGGATCAGCCAAACCATTGTGGTCCATTGGCTTCAGGCCCTGGAGAGGGAACAGCAAAAAGCAGGCTCAGGATGGCACTGGGCTGCTGGGCAGGCAGGGTGGCCTCACGGAGCCCATCCTCTTTCCCTGGGCTCCATGGAGCAACTGAGGCTTCCCCAGGACTGGGGAAGGAGGGGAGAGTGGGTTCTGCAGGGTCCAGGCTCAGCATTCCAACCTCACCTGCTCGTGGCACCATCCACCCCTCCCTCCCTGCCTCCCTGCCAGCAGCCAGCTCTGCCACCCTCATGGTGATTAATTTGGGGGTGAAGCAAATCAGTGCAGTGATTTCCCAGGCTTGAAATTACAGGGTTCTGTCATTTAATAATTGCTTCTGAGCAAACACACACCTCTGCTGTTGTGGTGCCATTTCCAGAGGGTGTGATAGCACCTACCCACTCCCAGTTATTAAGGAAGAACAGCTCCAGGCCAGTGGGAGGCTGGTGCCAGCCAGATGCTGTGGTGTTCACAGGGAAATCTGAGGTTGCAGGAGCACCAATCCAAGGAAACACTCGCTGTGGCCATTCCTGATGGGTTTTCCACAAGACCCTCAGTGCTCTCAAAGGATGGCATAGATCAGGTTTGTTATAGTGATGCCCTGCTTTAGGCAGAGGAAGGGCACAAGCTGTGCCTCTGTTCCTCCTCTAAACCCCCTGAAAATTATCCAGCAGTGATGCACTAACCCAGCTGAAATCCACACCTGCACAAACTGCATGGAAAAACCTCCACAGAGCAGGGAAGCAAGTCAGGAGGGTGAAAAATGGAGCCTAATTTTCACCAGTGCTAAGTAGAAATGAGAGTGGTTCCATGGTGGAAGTCCTTGGATTATTTTCAGCCTGGCTGTGGGATCCCTGCAGGAATTATTGCTGGGCTGGTGAAGGCAATCCTGTGCCTGGATCGGAGCAGGGCTTCTCTGCAGAGGTACCCACCCAATCCTGGCTCCAGCCTGGGCATGGAGACAAGGCTGGGGGGTGCTGAAGAGTCCTCACACCCTTTTTGTGAGGAGCAGAGTGCTGGATAACGAGTGTGTGCAGCTGCCAGGGATCCAGCAGCAGGGAAGAATTTGTACGGACTGCTGCTGGAATGGCTGCGTGCAGAAGGAATGCAATCATCCAGGATTTGGGCAAATTGGGCAGGGAAATGCTGGAGGGAATTATTTCCATGCCTCACAGGTAGGGAATAACTCACCCAGCTTAACCCACAGCACCACAGGAGCTCTCTGAGTTCTGTCCAAGATGTTCCTGACCTTGGGAGTGTCAAGGGCTCTGCTACAGAGACAAGCGTGCTGCCCTGGGGCAAGGGAGGCCAAATGGTGCCCAGCAAAGAGGATTTTGCTTCTACAGCAAAACCAGGAGGATAAAAATATCAGCAGTGAGTGGAGGTGAAAGGGCTCTGCTTTAAGAGCAGCCTCTGGGGTGATGTCTGTGGCCCAGCAGATGATGAGGATGGGGCAGACAGGGCAGGAAGGGGCTGGGCTGTCCCCAGGCTCTGGAGGGAATTGCCTGCACTATCCACTGGTGCTCTGCCCAGCCTCCCTGGTCAGGGGTGCCCAAGCTGCCCGGGCTGCAGAGAAAATGAAATCAGAACGGAGCAGGCAGATTCCCAGGCCAATGGATGGAGAATGACAGGCAGTTCTGTAATTCACCCATCAATTCAGCTCAATTAAATTACCTTCTGAGGAGGCTATTAAAGGCTTTTTTAATAGATGTGCTATGGAAGATGGAGTGACAGGAGCCTGGAAAATGGCTCCTAATGTCACGTCTACCTCCCTCCCGTGTCACTTGATCCGTGTTTGGCACAAACAGCTGAATTTAACAGGGCTCTGCTTTGCCCCCATTGCTTCCCCTGGGTGGAGGGACCACCAGCCTGGAGCTTCTCCAAGAGGGATGAGAGGCAGGGAGGGACAAGGCACAGAGTCTCCCCCCAGATCCAGCTGGGGCATCTCCCTGGCTCCAACTGATTTTTGGAGCTGAGATTGAGTTTCTTCTTTTCTCTTCCTCTACCCAACTCCAAAATCTCTGCTGCAATCCTACAGAGACCTCCAGCTCCCTGCATCCCAGGCTGTGCCAGCTGCTCCCCGTGCCAGTGACATTTAGCTAATCAATAGGATTTAATTACAGCTTGGGCTAATCGGGCTGCCGATTAATGCCACGCTAGAGGCATCCAGAAATCACAGGAGATGGATTCATTCCATCCTTCACCAACAACGAGCTGCCTGCCCAAAACCCAGCCTGGATAATTCCCAGGCATCCCATTCTGAAAGGGGGCAAGCTGCATTTCCACCCTGCCAGCCCAGAGGAGCCCGACAGCTGGAGGAATCTCCCTGCAGTGATCAATATTTATGAGTTAATACATAAGTAATGCTCAGTGCAGACCTCCAGCACTCACCTCGGGTGGAAGGGGAGGAACAGCCAAATGCTCAGTGGGGTGGAAACTCCTGGGTGTTTCCTGGCCAGAGGTGCAGGGAGAGCAGCCCAAGGATGCTCCAATGGGCAGCAGCTGCCTGGCATGGCCTGCCTGGGGCCAGGAGCTCCTTCACCATTGTCCCACAGCCCCCTGAGCCTTGTCCCAGGCATCTTTCTCCCAAAAGCAGGAGACCACTGGAGCTATAGGACAGCACAGCCTGCTGTGTCTGTGCTGCTGCATGCCCCTATAAATCCCCTGTAGCAGGCTGGGCGCTGTAGCACTGAGTCTCAGCGAAGCCATGGCATGGCAGGGCACAAAACCAGGTGCCTGCACATTCACCAAATCCTTTTCCATCCTATTTTCTAGGAGGTGGTGATGCCCAGCACATCCCACACTGGACAGCAGAGATCCACAGAATCCCAGGGCTCGTGCAGGGCACCAGGGGAGAGGGAGAGCCCTCCTGCCAGCCTGGCTGCTCCTGCAGTCCAGGAATGAGCTTCCACAATGCCCTGATTTATTCTCCTATTGATCTGAGCTGAGCTACAACGTGTCTGAGTTCAGCCGTGCCTGAAGTGTGACAGGCGGGGCTGCTGCCAGCGCTGAGAGCCACCAGTGCGAGGTGGCTGCTGCCAGCCTGGCTGCTCCTGGCTGCTCCTGGCTGCTCCTGCTTGTTCCTGCCTGTTCCTGGCTGCTCCTGCCTGTTCCTTCCTGCTCCTGACTTTTCCTCCCTCTTCCTGGCTGCTCCCGCCTTTTCCTGCCTGTTCCTGCCTGTTCCTGCCTGTTCCTGCCTGTTCCTGCCTTTTCCTGGCTGCTCCTGCCTGTTCCTGCCTGTTCCTGCCTGTTCCTGCCTGTTCCTGCCTCCTCCTGCCTGTTCCTGCATTTTCCTGCCTGTTCCTGCCTCCTCCTGCCTGTTCCTGGCTGCTCCTGCCTTTTCCTGGCTGTTCTTACCTGTTCCTGCCTGTTCCTGCCTGTTCCTGCCTGTTCCTGCCTTTTCCTGCCTGTTCCTGCCTGTTCCTGGCTGTTCCTGCCTGTTCCTGGCTGCTCCTGCCTGTTCCTTGCTGCTCCTGACTTTTCCTGGCTGCTCCTGACTTTTCCTGGCTGCTCCTGGCTGCTCCTGCCTGTTCCTGGCTGCTCCTGACTTTTCCTGCCTCTTCCTGCCTTTTCTTGCCTTTTCCTGTCTTTTCCTGCCTGCTCCTGCCTGTTCCTGCCTGTTCCTGCCTGTTCCTGCCTGTTCCTGCCTTTTCCTGCCTGTTCCTGCCTCCTCCTGCCTTTTCCTGCCTGTTCCTGCCTTTTCCTGGCTGCTCCTGCCTGTTCCTGGCTGCTTCTGCTTGTCCCTCCTTATTCCTGTCTACTTTTGCCTTTTCCTGCCTTCTCCCACCTGTCTGGTGACCCCCAGAGCCTCCCAAATCCTGCTGTGAACTTCCAGCGCTCAGAAACCCCAGCGATATTCCCAGGCACAGCCACGGGGTGAATTCCCACGTGGAGTGGCTGTCCCAGGCTCCAGCAGAGCAGGGAATTGTTGGTGGAGCACAACAGGTTGGATTGAACCTGCTGCTGCCCAGCAGTGATAACGGGACTCGTCAGGAGCATCAGCAGATATGGAAGTGCTGGAGATTAAAAAAAAAATAAAAAAAATAGAGGGAAGTAGAATAAAGGGAGAGAGGGAGGTTGTTTGGGGTTAGCAGAGAGAAAGAAAAACGTGTCTCACGTGGCTGAAATAGGTTTGAATGGCTGCTGGCAGCAGCAGAGGCTCCAGGAGCTGCTGGAGTTGGGCACATCCTGAGAGCGTTTCCCTGGAGGAAATGTGACACAGGTACCCAGGAGCTGGGCTCTGGATATTCTCAGTTCAGTCAGAGAGAAAAAGAGAAAGATTTCTGCCAGGCTAAGCCTGGGAAAAAGTCCAGGAGGAATGTAGACAATCTATTATCTTGTTTTCTGTTCATAGATATGTTCTACCACACTGACCTAAGTCCAGTGCACCGATCAGGTGAAATGTTTTCACTTTAAGAACAATGAAATGAATGTTCACGATGTTCTCTACAAAAGAGAGAGGTGCTTTTGAATAAAGATCATTCTTTGCCTTCTGAAGATGGAGTCTCTTCATTCCCATCCCTGCCTCAACAGCGACACTGGGCCAAGGGTAAATAACATCCCAGCACTGTGGGGCTTTTCCCCATCTCCTCCTCTCCGGCTCTATTGTGCCACCCCCGGAGCCAGCGGGCTCCTGGCCCTTACCTTTCTGTAGTCAAGTTTTGGCAGCTTTCCCCAGGCGAGAGATGAAATGAGAGCGAGCAGATGGCAATGTAAATAAAAGAGAAAAATGGGAGAATGAGAGCAGAATGGAAATGAACAGGACTGGAGAGCTGGAATGGCAGGGTGGCCAGGGGCGATGCTGGGGTACCCCCACACCCCTGGGTGGGCACGGCAGGGACCAGGGCTCTCCTTTGGCAGCCCTGCCTGTGCTCTCGCTGATGTGAGATTTATCAGTTGCTGCCCAGAGCTCTCCTTCCTCCCTGCCTTCCACCCACTCCAAACCCAATTAGAAATCTCCTCCTTGGCACGGCTCCCGTGTGCGCCGAGGGAAGCCTGACCCGGCGGATCCACAGGAGACAGAGGGAAGCAAAGCCCTGTCTGCCTCAGCCCTGCCCTGGGGATGCTGCCCTGCCCAGGAGCAGCTCCAGGAGTGCTGGGGCTGATCCCTGCACCCCCATCCCCAAAATCCAGCTTTGCTGCTAGGATTCCAGCATGGAAAAGGCTGGGGGGGGGGGGGCTGCAAACAAGCCATGGAGGGGAGAGGAGCATCCTGTGGAGGTCTGACCCTCTGGGGCTCAGCTCACAGCCTCTTCTGCCTTCTGTGAAAACCCTCCATCCCTTCCCAAAATCTGCAGGGTCTTTTCCCCCCAGCCACCTCCCAAAATCTGCAGGGTCTTTTCATCCCAGCCCCACACCCGGACCCCTCGTTTTTGATGCAGAGGGGAGCCCAGCAGCACCTCACACAGGCTCTGAGGCTGAACCAGCACCTCGGCTCCCTCTTGCTGCTCCCAAATGTGCAAAAAAGCCCCTAAATTGCCTCAATCACGCAGGCGGCAAAGGCGCTGAGGAGCAGCACTTTGGGGCCGTGATTAGCAGCATTTAAAAGAGCCATTTATAACCCGACAGCCGGCGACAGTAAATAACAACATGGGGATGGGCTGCTGGAAAAAGCATCAATCCAGCTCGTCCCGGGGGATGCGCAGCCGGCTCCTGAGCGCTGGGACACGGGCAGAGGTGTTGGGAGCTGATGGATTCAGGGATGCTGGGCACAGCCAAGGCTCGGGTCCCCGCTCCTTGCCGGCTCCTCAGCCCTACCTTGGCTTTGTTGATGGTGCAGTGGAGAGCGTTGTTCTCCTGATCGTAGAGCAAACTGAAATCCAGCGTCCCCAGCGCGGCTGCAAGGGAGGAGAGATGTGGTTAACCTGCTGCACCCTCTGAGCACAAAAGGAGTGCGTGGAGATGCTGAAGAACAGGCTGCAGGCATTATAAAACACAGAGCATCCTGCTGGCAGCCCTGTTATGAAACGTGGCCATTCCCAGGTTGGCTGGCACAGCCCTGGGAGAGGAGTGAGGGATGAGTGGGTGCAGCTCTGCAGCACCCTTTGCTCCCGTGGGCTCTCACCTGGGTTATCCCCATCCCTCAGCAGCCTGAGTGCAGCCAGCAGCTTCCCGTCCCCCAGGAGATGGAGGATCTCCCCCGGGGAAGATTTGGGAATGGCTGGGACACAGCTGAGAGCTGCTGTTGGCACATCCTCCCCTCCAGCGCCGCTGGCATTCCCAGACCGTGTATTTGTATAGTGACACCTCCAAACAAATGAGCCACCAGTGGGATCCCTTCCCAGCTCCAATCTGGCTGCAAACTGTAAATTAAACCCAGTGAGGATGGAAATACTTTCCTGGTTAAAATGAAGAACACCAACAGCTTTTAATCAGCTCAGGGTTCCTTTGTGGCATCCCAAGGATCTCCTGGGATGGGACACAGGAGCTGAACAAAACCAGAAGAGCCTCAGCAGCAAAAGTCCTTTTGATTTGAGAAATTCTTTTCCTTTGGATGATCTGAGCACTAATCTCACTAACCCAAAGCAAGACAGGCTTCCCAAAAACACGGCTTAACCTTCTCCAAGGCTCCCAGGCCTGATTTGCACACCAAAGCCTGGACATGGAGCAGCCTCTCCCCTGGCTCAGCTTCACCTGCCACCAGCCTGGAACTTCCAGGGTGGCTCTGGACCCAGCAAACCCCACTTTTCCATGCCCACCTTCCCAAAAGAGTTTTGCCTGAGTGCTGCCCTGCCACCAGACACCATCCCCACCACTGTTTCCAAGGTAAATGCACCTTCCTGCCACGTTCAGAATGTGAAAAAACATCCCAAATAAAAACCAGAACAGTTTTGCTTAATATCAAAGCAGGGTTTGCTGACTGGAGGGGAGTTGGACAAACTTTATGGGAAGAAATAAGGTGCTTCTTTTTTTCCCCAGCACAGAGTTTAAGGATATTCAGGAGACCAAAACCTTCCTGCTGCAATTTCACAGCGATCTCCCAGTCCAAAGGCAAAGGAGCTACAGGTTTGCCTGCTGGCCAATGAAAAAAATCATTTCTCCAAGCAAATATCTTGAGTTCAAAGCACAGTAAATACCCAGAAAGAGTTCTGCCAGAATAATGTACCCCCCTGGTTGTGCAGCAATTTCACGGCACATTAGCTCCTGGTCTGGATAAGGCACAAACCAGTGGGGTTTTACCTGCCAGGGGAAGATGAGGGGTGAGGCCAAACCTGCTGTACCTTGTGCATCATCTGTGGCTCAAATGGGCATTTCCAGAGCAATTCCAGCTAAACCCCTGCAGGGAGGAAGGACCAGCAGTGCTCTGGTGACGGGCAGCTCAAGGATGGCAGCGTGAGAAGCTGGAGGCTCCACAAACCAAGTCAGCAAAACTTCCCAAATCTGCATTTTTCACTCAAGAGCGGAAGATGAAACCTCCGGTTTCGGAGCCTCATCATTTCCACCTGCCCTTTAATCAGCATTTCCTGCCAGCCCCACCGCTCGGCCCTCCGAGTTCAAGCTGTTATTTTATTTTTATCACAGAGGGGGGCCCACAGTTCAGCCTGCTGGAGTTGGCAATTTATAAAACAAATTAAAAAGCTTGGCAGGCAAACAGAGTTTGGCCAGGAAATAGTGACAAAGCCCCAGCCTGCCCCAGGGGTGAGGGCAGCGGGGAGCCCTGCTTCAGCAAGACAGGCAGAACCTAAAATCACCCTCACACAGCAGCAGGAGCTTGTGCTGCAGGTGGGGGCTCAGCTCCTGCTCCCAGCTCTGGCAATCCATCAGCAAATATCCAGCAGTTCCCATTCCTCCTGGAGCTGCCAGGGGTGGGAGGGCACGGCCAGGGGTGCAGGGTTCCCATCCTGGCTCTGCTCCTGTCCTGGAGGGGTTTTCTTCTAAGCAGAGAGGGGTTTTTGTGGATGGTGAGTCTCAATTTCCAACTAAGTGTAAGTCTCGATTTCCAGGAGCAGAGGGATGTGGAAACAACAGCACAATGCATGCTAATTGCTTAAAAATGTGGTTGTTTGATGAACAGTAGGAGGAAAAGTTTGCCAAAAAGGGGTTTGGCAGCCAAGGTGCTGCTGTGGGGCTGGAGGCCAGCACTGCCACCAGAGCCAGGAGCCAGCAGATGCCCAGGACTCATGGGACACATTAAGGACATGGTGACAGTCCCACAGCCTCTGGTACATCCTGGGAATGCACAGCCAGGGATGGATCCAGCACAGACAAGGCTGGAGCTCCTGCTCAGGGCTGAGGAGCTGGCAGGAGACCTCCAGCTCCAGCAAGGGTAGGAGCCCACCCTGCACCCCACAGAGCACCCAGAGAACTGCCAGGAGCCCCAGCCCAGCCCTGGGCTCTGCAGTGGGCAGCACAAGCCACCAGCACCAGCCCAGCACTGCCTCACTGCTCCCACTCCTGCAGAGCCCAGCAGCACCTCCAGCCCTGCCTGGGGGAATCCTGCATCCCCAGCTGGCAGGATTGTGCCCAAAACCTCTGCAGGGCAGCCTAATCCCCCTTCTTTAATTGCTTTCCCCCTCCCACTCGAGATGCAGCTCGATTGTGATCTTAATTAGGGGAGCAAGTACCTAAAAAAGAAAAGGGCAGCAATTAGACTCGAAGCGCTGTTAGCAGGATTATTTAACTCACTGGGCTATTCTGAACACTGCCCTCTAATCACAGAGGCTGCAAATAAAAAATATAAATAAATGCCTTTGTCAGGCATTACAAAGGCAGCTCGGGCACTCTCCAGACAGCAGGCAGGATGTATCATTATTATTACAATTATTCTGCTCCAATGATAAAATAACCATTAGGAAAACTGAACTCATTAGCAGGTTCTGACCCTCCCTCCTCTCCATGAGCAGGGAGAGATTGATGGGAAGGGCTGACCAGGCCCTGCCTTTTAACACAGGCTCTAAAAGGAAAAATAAATCCCACTTGCATGGGAAGGTGGCCTCTTCTCCCACTGACCTTTGGGCATTTTGATTAATTTGGGGGGCCGGGGAATGATTAGGGGGCAGCAGAAGCAGCAGATGCATCCGTGGGCTCGGGCAGCCCGGCACAGCCCCGCCGAGCCGGCAGGAATTTATTGTTTATTGCTGACATTTCCCGGCTGTGCCCAGGGTGAGGCGAGGCTGAAGGAGCTTCTATTTATACCTGTGGGGTGAGAGGCAAGATGTGGTGATAAATCTGTGCTCTGCTCCCTTCCCCAGCCCCTGTCCTTGCAGGGCTGTGCTGGGTGGCAGAGCCGCCCTCTCCAGTGCCTGGGATGCTCCAAGGTCAAGAGTTGCACATCCCAAGACATGGAAGGGCCACTGACACTCCCAGAAAAAGCTTCAGCAAAGCCTGGGGGTGATGACAGAGCACTCTCCTCACTTTCCCAAGGCAGGTGTGACTGCCATTTGAAAGCCCAGCAAAGCTCTACACCAGAAGTTGAGGTGTGCACACAAAAACCCCACTATAGAACTAATTAAAAAGAAGTCCAAAAAGCCTTAAGTCCCTCTGCTTATCAGCATTGCTGCTCCCAAGATAATCTGCTCACGGATTTTGTGCCAGGGAGATCAGAGTGGAGCAGTAAAAAGACTGCTGGGGATTGTCTGGATTAGCTCTCCCTTACAGAAAGCACAGGTTCAGTAACCTTCAGACTGGGTATTTTTTAATGCACTATAAAAGATAGGTCCCTATTCTTCCATTGCTTTAATTTTCCCTTGCAATGGAGATAATTTTAAAGGTCCTGAAAGGCAGCAAGTAATTCTGTGCACTTAGAGCCCCATATAAAATGTTGGTAAATGACTCCTCAGGAGGAACAGAAATCACATCCTGCCATTTCCAAGCCAGGCTGCTGGAGAGCGTTTTGGTGGGTGGGTGGCTGTGTGTGCACTCCTGACACACACTGACCTGTGGCACACCATGGGGCAGAGCTTGAGGAGTGGCTCCATGGGGTTTGGAAAAGCCTCAGGGCTGTCCCTGGAGAGCAGCACCATCCTCTGCTGCAGCTGAGCTCACCCAGCACCCACAGCACTGCAGAGCCCCACAGACCCGCTCAGGATGCTGCTCTGCACCAGGGATGGATCCCTGTCGGAACTCAAAATGTCCCTCAGACATTTTTGGAGGTTCCAGGCCTTGGTCAGAAGCATTTTAGACCCTGTCAGGCAGCTGAAAACAGCTGTGATTTTGGGTTTGAGACATGGAATGAGTTACCAACTTTGAAGGTGGAACAAGCGGTCACAAAAGGTTAGATGGTATAGTAAAAGTAGTTACAAATTAGAGGGGAAAATTTTTTAGTATTGTACAGGGGGGTTTTAACACCTGTACAGGGGGGGTTTACTTTGTACAGGGGGGTCAGGAGTTCTAAGATGGAGGAAAGTGGGCCTGATCCTGTTCTTCCTCCTTCTTCTTCCTTACCTCCATGTTCTTGGTGATGCACTCACAGATTGGTTTAGAGTAGAAAAGCACCTTGTAACATAGGTAGTAGGTATTGGGGAAAATCTGTAAACATATAACACGTAATATATCATATAAAAGACAGCAGCAGCCCTGGGTGGGGAGAGAAGAAGACAGCAGGCAGTGAGGGTGTCAGGGTGTGTGTGTCTCTGCCTGGGCAGCTGACCAAACAGCCACAGGGGGCAAAGACAATCTTAAACTGACTTGAGACCCAACAACAAGAGGCTGCCGAGTTTTTCTTTGGAAGTAAAGGTTGGAGGAGAGACTTTACCACCACACGAGAGCCCCGAATCAATCCCGGGGTTCTCACAGATCCCAAAGGGGCTGAGCTGAGGAGCTGCAGGCCCTGAGGGCTGCAAACCCCCCGAAGGCAGCACTGACCTCTGGCATGAAGCTCCAGCCACGGCATCGCTGT